GGTTACGCCCATTAACGTGGAGGATCAGCTGTTTGACATGTTCAAGGATGAGTCGGATGAAAAAGTTCACATGGGAAAATTTATAGCCGTGAGTATATGTTGTTCTCATGTATATTATACCTATTACGTCCCAATTCATCCGGGGTTCCGGGACGTTGGCGTATGGAAGATGGTGAGGAGGGGGGAGGAGGAGAGGTGTTACTGTTTGGAAGGGGAGTCCCCATCCATTATAACATCAAGCAGTGAGGACTTCTCTGGTGTGCACACTCTGGCACGTTTTCCCTGCATACCACTAGGACCTGCTTGTGGCTCACTGCTTGCTTGTCTTACTAACAATCTGTCTAAAGACACTTGTTTTTCCCTACATTTTAACACTTCTCTGTAGTAAGACATCACATTGTCATTTAAAAGGTCAATGCAACGGCCTGCTACAGCTTTATCTGGGTGAGTTTTTTCAACAAAACTTTGCAGTTCTTCCTATACTTCACATTTTTTCTTAATGAAGAAGGGACATCCTCTACTGCCTCTACTCTCAACTATTTTCTTCGGTTGAACCTTACCACTGGCTTTCTTGGGACCCATGGCGAGATATAATAACAACTTTTATGCTCAAATGGCCAAAAATCTGCCAAAAAACTGTAAATCCTCATGAAGAATTCGGGTGGGATAGTCACTGGGCGTGAGGCACTGGCAAACTGAGCAGCGATTGCCGTGCCACCACGCGCTCGGTCAACCCGTACGCGTATCAACAAACTCGTAACCTGAGGCAATCCTTGTATCCCGATACAAATTTTCCGAACAAATCCTGCTGGTAACCCGAAAAACTCGTAACCAGGGGTGCTCGTAAGCCGAGGTACCACTGTGGTTTGGATTACAGCCTACCAACAAAGATCAATTAGGCACTGTTGATATGAGGAATTATGTTGGATCAATTTCTAATGCTTAACTACTGCACTGCACCACCCGAGAAAACATGGGGTATGGGCAGTGCGCCACCTAACTCGTAAGCAATGTTAGTTTATCGTAAGATTCAAAACATGCGAGCGCTAGGTCGGGTACGAGATGGATGCCCGAGACCTCCAGTGAGTGGCAGCCATCTTGAAAAAAATTCCCCGCATGCCCCAGGGCCACGTGTTGGCTCAGTTCTGAGTGAGCAACCATGGCTGGCACACACACCTCTGACTCCCAAATCCCCTGTCAGACGCGGTGTCGAAAGATCGCTCTCAATAAAGATCGATAAAGACCCAGCACAAGTGTTGGATACAAGTGATACAGCATGGATGAGGACGATACAGCGAACGTATCCAGTACAGGGTGAGCGCCAGGCGCTCCCAGGCCATCACCCTCATCATTATCATCACCACCTGTGTTATCTCAATTTTTGAAGTAATACTATAGATGAATCGTTTTCTGGATTAAGTGATGCTTAACCCAGTGCCAGAGCCGGGCGCGATATTGGCGCCAGGGTCGGGCACAGTATCTGCACCACAGCCGGGTGGGATATTGGCGCCAGGGTCGGGTAAAGAGAAACACACTAAACAAGGACCCAAAACCTGCCGATATTATAAGTGGGGTATCTGTAAACATGAGATATTGGGAAGAACAAATAGAATATGTAAATATGATCATCCCAGAAGTGCAGATACTTTCTTAGTACAGGTAAATGTGCCAAAAGCTGTAATTTTTTTCACCGAGAACTATGTTGCAAGAACTCCTTAAATAAGAATGAATGTTTCAACACAGAATGTCCAGCTTTTCATATAAGAGGTACCAGGTGAATAAAACCGACAGACCACCTTGATGAAATCAGCCACAACACTATTTACCAGGATGATTTTTTTTTAGCAAGAGGAGAAGAATGGTTAAAAATGTCCAAATACTACCACCAACTCAGTCAAATGCTAAAGAGAACACAAACACAGTGCCCTCCCTACTAGAGCCTTAGATATTAACATTAAGTAAAGCATCCAGCAATTCCACAAACATGGTAACATTATTATTATTATTTGCCAACATTCAGGGTATAAAAACACGCAAATCGAACAAAGTTCACTTTATAGCTGGCCTCCTACATGAGGCAAATACAGTGTTTGTAACCCTAATGGAAACCCATACAAAGGATTATTCTGATGTTGAAATATGGATTTCGGAGTACAGTGATATCTTGGTTTTTTAATTTAATCTATTCCCAGAGATGGGTCATAAGCTGAAAATTCGTAAGCCAAAAATTCGGAGGGAGGGATGCCGGGTAGCCTCCAGGTCTCACCCAGAAAATGGTGTTTTATTACACTCAATGCTGGTTTTCTGTGGAGAGCCCCCTTGGCTCCCTGCAACTACCTAACCAAACATAAAAGAAAAGAGGGACTTACCCGGAAGGCGGCCACCACTCGCTCCTCAACTCAAAGTCGACACAAATGGCTGCAACCAGCAACCCAAGGCTACACACACCTGAGAAGGGTCATGAACATGAACGAGGTACAGTGCGGCCAGGACCTTGTTCGACCTATATTATCAAAAACAGCCGCCAAAGCCATTAACTTGCGAACGTCGTTGGCACGGTGATAGACCGCAGGCTGGCTGGACTGTATAAGGTACCCAGGAGTTAGCTAGCTTGTTGTGGGGTTGCATCCTGGGTGCTCTATAATTTGACATCTTGGGGTGGGGGTCCTTGATATAACCCTAACGTGTATAAACACACACTGGCTGCCTCTACCCCCTGTCACAATGAATTATGAATTATAAGATTTCCTTTCTGTAAATACTAAAGGTGTATATAAGCTCACATAGATACATATTTGTGTCATCAGCATTGTATGTAAACACAGAAATTGGTCTGTACACTCACTTATTATTTTTGTTTATTCCTTTTTCAGGCATTAACGGAAGCAGGACTAAGAAAATCTGACCCACGCCTGGCTGAGCTGAGAAACAATCTACTAGAGGTCCATGCATCTCTAGATAACCCTAAAGACTCATCTGCAAGTACCCTCTCTGTTGACAAGGCAACATTTAAGAGGTACTGGTGTGGAATACCTTCTTGCATTGTTAAATGAGTATATTATACTGTATCATAATTATGTATTGGTAAAAGGAGGCAAACATAATTTTCTGTGGGGAGCCCCGGAGGTTCCCTGGAGCTTATCGAGCTAATGTATGTTATATTAGATCGGGACATTAGCTATGGAGTTCAGACCTACCAGGGACCAGCGCCAGAACCTGGCCCCTTCAGTGAGGTTTCAGGGAGCAATGGCCCTGGAAAACCCCCTTGTGGTTCAGGGTTTTCCTTATCTGCCATCGACCGGGGTTAGGCACCCAGAAAGGTAGGCATAGCAAAACAAACTCCACATGGTAAGAAACTAAAACAAAAAACCGAACAGAGAGGTAGAAACTCCCTAAAATCCCAAGGAAACAAGCAAACAAGCAAACATCACACTTTATTGCCGCGTCGATTGTCCGCGCAGCCCTAACCGCCCCGAGAGGGGGAGGAGGGGCCCGGATCTCACTGCGCCGGGTGCCTAGCACCAGTTCGTAAGCTAATGTCAACCAGGACAGACGCTTCTCTGGCCTCAGTTTCCTAGGCAGTGTTTGCCTTTTGTGGCGTTCACTGTCATGTGTTGTGTTGTGCGGTGCATCAGTATCGGGGCTGCATGTGCTTAGGGGCTTCTTTCCCTAAGCACCATGTGAGTACTACCCCTACGTGACAGGGTTATCTTCCCTGGGGCGTTCGGGAACCATTCCCGTAGAGGTTCTTGCTGCTCGGCATTTGCCTCGCCCTTGGGGCCGGCTGGGGCTTGGGGCCCTTATTTGGCCCTGGGTAGAGACTGGTATTGTGCTGGTTAGGGCGTCAAGGTGTTGTGCGGCCTGCCACCTATGCTGCAACCGGTTCCTGTTGCCTCTGGGGATGGTGTACTTTTGTGGGGGTTTTCTTTTGTTTTTCTTTTAATTTGCCTGGTGGGAGTCTGCCTAGTGTGGCTATAGTTCCACTGGTAGTGTTTGGTGGCCCTCTGCTAGGCCCCTGTGATTGTACACGTCGCAGGGGTTTTCAGTGTTGCATCCCCTTGTTAGCTTAGGTGTTTAACCGGTCTTGTGAGTCAAAAAGCAACAAGGAGTAACTGCCAAACACCAGCGAGCCACTCACTGCCACTCCCTCCCTCAACACCACCTCACTCACCCTCATTCTCTTCCCACAATACTGTTTTTGCATTTATTCACTATACAAAGACGTTATATATATGTATTTACATGTTTTGTTCACCATAACTGTACATCTAAGCTTGTATGGTGAGTAAAGGCCATAAGACGTAGCTACTCACACAGTCAGCTGATCGGCGGCCGCCCTCAAGGCCAGACGCACTATTTCTCCTCCATCAATATTGTTTGTGGTGTTATTACGCTATATACACACATTATATATAAGTATCTACCTGTTTTATTCACTATACCTGAATAAATAAGCTGGTATGGTGCCCAAAGATCATAGTGGCCATCAGTAAACACCATGCCAAGTCGTGCAGACGACGCTCCTCCCTCACCAAAATGGCGGCTCCCAACCTACTCCTCTCGCTGTTATCTCACACTATACACACGTTATATATAAGTATCTACATTTGTGTTCACCATATCGAACCACTAAACTGGAATGGTGAGTGCAGTCAATAAATGGTGGCCACACACAGTCAGAAGATGACGCCACAACCCTCCCTCCACAGCCTTACTCCTCCCTCCATGGAGCATAGCGCTAAATATCACCACAATCCTGCTATTATCAGAATCCTGGTCAGTTTTATCACAGTCAGGGGGCTTCAGTAATACTATCACTGCTAAATAATAGCAGTATCATATATATTATGGTATTTGTAGGCGATGCTGTGGTCACAAGCTGAACAGCGGTGCTGTGAGCTCGTGCTGCGTGCACCAGCCTTGGTGGCTTGCTCAATACTGACACTGTAACACCCAAGAATGTTGGCCTGGATTTTTTTTCTAGGTGGCATCTGGCAACTATCGGTCGTGGCTGTACTATAGCTGCCCCTATCCCAGGCGGGGTGTTTAAATTATAGCGCTAGACACGAAATCATATATAAATGATGTGCGCGGTTTCGGTTTTGTCACTGATATCATTTATATATGATATGCGCGGTTTGAGGGTTAAATCTTGCGTAGTACTCCAACACATCATAAAACGTGATGCGCAGTTGACTGGAACAACGTCCAACACGTCATATGACGTGATGCGCACTTTAAGGGTTAAGGACCTGGCCAAAACACTATGCGTGGCAGTGTTTTGCAAGAATGTAAAGCTCGAACACCAGTGTTATGTATCTGGTTCCTCTTCCTCTTTGTCTATCATGGTATCTACTTTTCATGAACTTGTTTCGTCTTATTGAAGAACTCTTTCCACTTGTGTTGATATAGTCGGTTGGCTTTTTTTGTTTGGTGTATATATAATATGTGTACAGAATTAAACAGTAGAGTACAGTATATGTATGATAGTAAAAAAGGCATGAACAGTAGGCCTTATTAGCCCTTGCACTGTGCACTTATTTCATTTGACAACTTTGTGGTGCAGTTGTTAATGAATTGTTAACATTAAGTGAAAACTTTAAATAACTAGAAAAATGTCAAAGTATTGCCAAACACAATAGTTGTCATTTCAAATCACAAAGAGTCTAAAAAACATTAAAATATTGCCAATTTCGAAAGGATTTTGCCTCACCTGTCGAGTGTCTTAATAGGCGCTATGCTCAGTGCAGTGGTTAATATGTGCAAATGACCCATTCTTTTAAATTATTTTCCCTATTTTTCAGCATATAGAATATCATTACAGAAGCTTGTTTCCTCTCATAATGTAAGAATAATGTATTTTCCTCTTTATTTGCAAATGTCAGTTTCTATTATACTGTATGATCAATACAGTGTTAATCTTATAATACAATAGTTTGGCATTCAAATTGTTTTCCAATTCATATTAATTCTAACCATGCTCAAACTGACACTAGAAATTAGTTTGCACGTTTGAAGTTGATGTTCTATTGGACCTCGGAATAACTCTTCCACTCTCACCTATACCTAGTGATAATTAGTATTATAATATTGATACTCTATATCAATTGTATAAAAATTTATAATATTTTAACACTTTATAATATATTAGTATTTTATAATATTTTAATATTTATACGTAAATACTGTATATAGTATTATATTATTTATATATTTGTACATGTATCATTTATTCTTTTATAAACTATCCAACTTTGCTTGATTTTAATTGAAAATAATTTTATATCCTCCTGCATATAACAAAATAATGCAGACTACTAAAGACCTTATTTATTTTAAATATTTGTGTATTAATTAATTAGAATTTAATTTCTTTTGCTTTATGAGTTGATATTCAGCTGCAGATATTTAACCAAGTTATCTCTTTCAAAATATGCTAAATTGATTTGAAATTTTAAAAATAGGTAAGAAATACTAAAAGCATTGCAGCTCAGGCTTCAGACATTAAGTTAGTTTTCAGTGACTCTTAATAAATAGTGGTTTTTAGTTTCTGCAATATTTCCCAAGACTATGCAGTATAAGAAAGATGACAGTAAATAAGTCAATGTGGAGATGACATTTTGTCCTGGTTCAGTAGTAGTGATGAGTTATATTGTAATGACCAGGGAACGGCAGTCACGCTCCCAGAGTCCATCAACGAATGGATCGCCACGCCGCACTCCATCCATCACTTCTCCTACATCAAGAAGGCTCGACAGACAACAGTTCAAGAAGTATGCACTAACTTGCATACTTGGCAAATGTACTTTACCATGATACATTACTGCTTTCTTTCATATAATTGCATGAACCTCAAATATGAGAACACACACCAACATACAGTATTTGAGAAATTATTCTATCTTGACATGCTATTTGAATTCAAAGATTAGATTGAAATACTCTGTAATTAACAAACTATGTACAGTACTCCATTTCACTCTGATATATTATTTATGTAACTATTAAAATAAATAAATGATCCTAATACTGTACATGTATAGTAAGGATTATCTCATACATTTTATAGCATACTGTACTTACAAAGTTTTAATGAGACTGCACCTTCCACTTTGTTCTTGCAGCTTCTTGTAACATATACTGCGTCTTTTAACTCCTGATATGTTCTTTGTCTTTATCTAATGTTTATTAACCTGCTTTGTTCATTGCTTGCTTCTTTGATTCATAGTGTAAGAAGAATTTGGCATTCATGGCCAGCTACAATATTATTATTCTGAACCTTATTCATAACTTGTAAATTGAAGGCATGCGTATTGTACATTACTATACAGCACTGTGTATGTGAAATATTTGCAAGCTTCTCACTCTTTTATTATTCTATCCTCATTACAATCTGACAAATATTTTGGTTGCAATTCTGGTTTTAGTTTACCACAGAAATATAGCCACGGGTACAATATTCCAAGATAAAATATAATTAGGACTTTATGATTTTTGACTTGTGTTCCAAGCCCATATCTGCTTTGGAAAAAAAATTGACACATTGCAACAAAAATCATCTTGTAGAAGTAAGTCATCTCTCATACCAGGAAACGTTGAGGTCCTCGTTACTAACAGCACTACAAACTAGACATGACAGGGCTGATCTTATTGAGGCTTTTCAAACATTGAACAAATTGGAAGATGTTAGTCTAGTCCACTTCTTTAATTAATAGGTGCAATGTAACTCTCACAAGGGACAAGAGCTTCAAGATCAACAAGCCACACTGTAGGACAGAAAACAGGAAATGCTTTCCACTCATAGGGTAATAAACCCATTAGAATCACCTACCTACTCATAAATGCCAACACAATTTTTCAGTTTAAAATTCAACTGGAAAAAAAGTCAGGAATAATTGACATTTGACAAGCTACTGACTTCCTGTTCCCAATGATACTACTAGATATGGTGGCCCTTAGATAAATTCAGGTAAAAAATGGCAAAATAGTGAACCCCAGCTATAATGAAGATTCAAGAACAAATAATTCTGTTCATATGGGTTTCTACTGTACAGAGCAGTACAATGGGACCTCAACTTACGATGCTAATCCATTCCCAGAGACGGATCATAAGTCGAAATATCGTAAGTCGAGGCGATTTTTCCCATAAGAAATAAAAAGGAATTGAATTAATTCGTTCCCCACCCTCCAAAATATTAACATACAAATACATTTTATACTGAATACAATGTTTTTTTCTAACTACAATACAGTACCAAAGTTTCTCTTACCTTTATGGAGGGCTCTTGATGGTGTATGGAAGATGGTGATGAGGGGGGAGGAGAGTTGTTACTCGAGCCTGGTTTTTCAAAATCAGGCTAGGTTTGAACCTGGGTGGGCCTTGTTTGGGACTCTCGAACCACTTCTGTGCATCTCTTTCCCCCCCCCTGCGACATTGCTGCAGCAGAAGTCCCGCATTTGGCTGTTTTTAAGGGAGTCCCTGGGTCACTCAGCAGTTGCTCGAGTGGTTATGTAGGTGTCTGGACTTCGCTGTGCTGGTTTACCCGCTGGGTCGGGTCTGGCTTCAGTGTCTGTTCTGGTTACTTCTGGAATGTTCCTTCTGTCTCTCTCATGACTGCTGGGTTCGACCCCGTGGGCCTTGCATGCGTTGCCAGCTTTCTTTTTGAGTTTTTCGGGTTAAGTGCTTTGGCACCTCCCAGATCCCTCACTCATTCATTGTGTTCATGGATGCCTTATCTCTCAGCTGGGGCTTTGTGACCAGTGCTTACCAGGCCAACCAGGGGCGGTGCGCTCTGTCCTTCCATTGGGGGTCACAGCGCAGTGCGGGGAATTTGCAGGGGAGGGGGGGGGGGGGTTTGGCTTTCACTGTGGGAGGATCGGATCACTCATGGCTCTTTGATCCAGTTGTGTGTAGTGCTTCTGTGTCCCCCAGGTGACAGGCTAGAGTTGCTGCTTGTCTGTTTTGTCTTGATTTGTGTTCTTGGCCAGGAACACAAATCAAGGGTGTGTTGGCCTGGTGTATATCCTAACCCTGTGGTGTATGGTTTGCTGTTTCTTCCACACCTAATGGGGTTTTGTTCCCGGGTTGTGGTCTTGGTTTCTGGGCCTGCCCATGACTTTTTGCATCTGTTTGGCTTCGGCGTCTGTTCTGGTTCTTTTGGGGCTGTCCCTTTTGCTGCTCTCGCGATCGCTGGATTTGTCCTCCAGGTGCCTTGCATCGGTTGCGGCATCTCCAGCTTCCTCTTGGTTTTTTTGGGGGGTTCGGTGCCTTGGTGCCTTCCGGAACCCTCGCTCAGCTTGTTCACAGATGCCTTGTCTCTCAGCTGGAACTTTCTGCCCAAGGCTTTCCCAGCTGGCCAGGAGGGGTGGGCTCCGTCAAGCTCACAGCACAGTGCGGGTGTTTGCAGTGGTGTGGCTTTCACTGCGACGGGTTCGGCTAGCTCGAGGCTCTGTGATCCGGCTCCATTTGGACTGTGCCCAGGTAGTTCTTTGCCTGGACCGGGAGGCATTTTTTCCACCTCTGGCCTGCTCATATGCCACCTGAGCTGTCCTGGCCCTTGGACTGGCTGCTCTCCTTTCTCTCTTCTCCTTGGTTTGTGGTGGTCCATTCAGTCCAAGACTGCTTTCTGAAGGCATTGTTTTTGTTGGCTTTGGCTTCTGGGGGTTGGGTTGGGGATCTTCATGCTCTCCTCTGGCACAGGGGCTTTTGCTCTTTTGGTCTTGATGAATATTTTGTTCGTTTGCAGCTGTCTCCTTTTTTTATAGCGAAGAATGAGATGGTGGGCTTCCGGAGGGGTCCGTGGGTTATTGATGCTCGTTTCATCAGGCAGAGGGTTCGTCAGACCTGCGCGCCTTGGGCTCTGTGTCTGGGGATGCACTGTGGGTTGACCCAGTATCCCTCTTTCCCTGTTTCAGGGCTCAGGTCTCTCAGGTCGTTTGCAAGGTTAAGTCTAGCCAGCCTGTGGTCTACCCTCACGCCCATGATGTTCGGTAGTTTGCGGCTCTTGCTGCTGAGTTGGGAACATGTCTTGGTCTGACATTCGGGTGCGGGGGTTTTGGAGGTCGAACAGGGTTCTGGCTGTCCATTATCTTGTTAATGTGCCAGGCCCTCAGTGGTCTAATGTTGATTTGGGTCGGCGGTTGCAGCCAGGTGTCTCGGCTTCGTCATGAGTCATGCAGTGCGGGCGCCTCCCTGGTGAGTTCCTCTTTTACTGCTATTTGGGTAGCTAGCTCCAGGGAGCTGACATGGCTCCTCGCAGATAACCAGTGTTGAATGGAATGAAATGCCATTTTCTGGGTGGGTCCCAGAGGCTCCCTGGCTCCTTCCCTCCCTCCGGTTGGAGGTTTTTGTTTCCGTTTGTCAGTCTCTGAACTGGAGGTCTGGTGACCGGCTCAGTGGGGGAAGGGGGGGAAGCACAAACGAGTGACACGCAGTGTTATGACATTTTGCTTATCTTGTTTTCCTTGGGGGGGGGGAGTTCCTAGGCTCTGTTCGGTCTCAGATTGCAATTTTCTACCAGTTGGGGTCTGTTTTGGGGCACCTATCTTTCTGGATGCCCAACCCCAGTCAATGGCAGACATGAATATACTCTCAAAAAGTGGAGTTTTCATAAGCCATTGCTCCTTTCGCCTCTGAGGGAACCAGGCTCTGACTCATGGTTCCCAGTAGGTATACAGACTCCATATGACTGAAGCCCTGGACTAATATAGCTAATATCAGTCAATAGCTCCAGGGAGCCTCTGGGACTCGCCCAAAAAATGGCATTTCATCACATTCAATGCTGTTTTTTTTTTCCCCTTTTTCAATTTAATTTATGCTTTTGATCTCAATTAGTTTTAAGTTTTAGTCCAAGTGTTTTTCCCACACCTTGCCCAAGATGCTGTGTGTATTAGCGGCTTTAGGCATAGTATGTACAGGGGTACCTCGGTTTAAGAATTTAATCCGCTCCTGGAGACGGTTCATAACCCGAAAATTCGTAAACCGAAGCTAATTTCCCCACAAGAAATAATGGGAAATTAATTAATCCGTTCCTGACTTCCCCAAAACTTCACTTCCAAGTAAATTTTATACCTAATTCACCCAAATCTACACTACAAAAGTATGTTCAAGTTATTACTTACCCTTGCTGATGACTCCTGTTGGCGTATGGAAGATGGTGAGGAGGGGAAAGGAGGAGAGGTGTTACTGTTTGGAAGGGGAGTCCCCTTCCATTATAACATAAGGCAGTAAAGCTTTTTCTGCAGTGCAATCTCTGGCACATTTTGCCTGCCAACTAGGTTCTGGTTGTGGCTCGCTGCTTGATTTTTTCACAACGAAACGATCCATTGAAGATTGTTTTTCCCCTTATTCGCAACATTTGTCTGTAGTGAGGCATCACATTGTCATTGAAAAGATTAATGCAACGGCCTACTACAGCTTTCTCTGGGTGAGTTGTTTCAATAAAAGTTTGCATTTCTTCCCACATCTGACACCACTTCCTAATTGTTGAGGAAGGGGACTTTTGCTTCTGCCTCATCCTCTTCTGAAGAAATATCCACAGCTGCTTCTTGTTACTGCTCCTTTTCAAAGGCTTGGAGTTCTTTGGTGGTCTGTTCTTCGTTGTGTTCTTCCACCAACCCCTCCACATCAACACCATCCAATTCCAAGCCCATCATCCAGCCCAGAGTAACAATTTCCTCAACAATAGGCACTTCATTTACAGGCTCAAATCCCTCAAAGTCTAGTTCTGTCACATATACAGGCCACAATTTTCTCCAGCCAGAGATAAAGGTTCTTTGAGTCACTTCTTGCCAGGCTTTGTCAACGAGTTTTAAAGCACTACAAATGTTAAAATGGTGTTTCCAAATCTCTTTGAGGGTGAGGTTTGTGACTTCAGTCACTTCAAAACATTTCCGGAAAAGTGCCATTTCATAAAGTTTCTTAAAATTCGCTATGATTTTCTGGTCCATCAGCTGAATTAGAGGAGTGGTGTTGGGAGGAAGGAACTTTATTGTGAGAATTATATCTGTTCAACAATGCATCCTCCAAGTCTGGAGGATGAGCAGGAACATTGTCGAGGAGAAGCAGGGTCTTGAGTGGCAAACTTTTCTCCTGCAGATATTTTTGTATGGCAGGGCACGCCACATCATTCACCCACTCCAAAAAAAATCCTAGTCATCCATGCCTTATTATTAGCCCTCCACATCACACACATTTGGTTTTTCTGCACACCATACTTTTTGAAAACCCTTGGATTTTCAGAATCATACACAAGCAAGGGTTATGTTTTTTCAAATTCAAATTCAAGGCAATTTTCAAATTGCCACTCACATTTCCACACAGCACAAGCGTAAACCTATCTTTCATAGGGTTGTGTCCGGGCAATGATTTCTCCTCCTTGGTAATGTATGTCCTCTTAGGCAATCTTTTCCATAACAGTCCTGTCTCATCACACTTAAACACTTGTTGTGGTAGGTATCCCTCAGCCTCTACAAACTCTTTAAATTCTTCAATAAATCTTTCAGCCGCTGGTTTGTCTGAGCTGGCAGCTCAGACAAATATATATATATATATATATATAATGTCGTACCTAGTAGCCAGAATGCACTTCTCGGCCTACTATGCAAGGCCCAATTTGCCTAATAAGCCAAGTTTTCCTGAATTAATATATTTTCTCTAATTTTTTTCTTATGAAATGATAAAGCTACCCATTTCATTATGTATGAGGTCAATTTTTTTTTATTGGAGTTAAAATTAACGTATATATATGACTGAACCTAACCAACCCTACCTAACCTAACCTAACCTAACCTAACCTAACCAATCTTTATAGGTTAGGTTAGGTTAGGTAGCCGAAAAAGTTAGGTTAGGTTAGGTAGTTGAAAAACAATTAATTCATGAAAACTTGGCTTATTAGGCAAATCGGGCCTTGCATAGTAGGCAGAGAAGTGCGTTCTGGCTACTAGGTACGACATATATATATATATATATATATATATATATATATATATATATATATATATATATAATATATATGTATATAAATAATAGGGGTACCACCTCTGGTGCAATTGCAGGGACCCCACATCCTCAAAGAAGAAAACAAAGAGCATTTAGAGAATGCTCTGAACACGCATTTGTGTTCCTCATATATATATATATATATATATATATATATATATATATATATATATATATATATATATATATGTCGTACCTAGTAGCCAGAACGCACTTCTCAGCCTACTATGCAAGGCCCAATTTGCCTAATAAGCCAAGTTTTCATGAATTAATGTTTTTTCGTCTACCTAACCTACCTAACCTAACCTAACCTAGCTTTTTTTGGCTACCTAACCTAACCTTACCTATAAATATAGGTTAGGTTAGGTTAGGTAGGGTTGGTTAGGTTCGGTCATATATCTACGTTAATTTTAACTCAAATAAAAAAAAATTGACCTCATACATAGAGAAAAGGGTAGCTTTATCATTTCATAAGAAAAAAAATTATAGTAAATATATTAATTCAGGAAAACTTGGCTTATTAGGCAAATCGGGCCTTGAATAGTAGGCTGAGAAGTGAGTTCTGGCTACTAGGTACGACATATATATATATATATATATATATATATATATATATATATATATATATATATATATATATATATATATATATATATATATATATAATATATATATATATGTCGTACCTAGTAGCCAGAACGCACTTCTCAGCCTACTATGTAAGGCCCGATTTGCCTAATAAGCCAAGTTTTCAAGAAATAATTTTTTTCGACTACCTAACCTACCTAACCTAACCTAACCTAATATTTTCGGCTACCTAACCTAACCTAACCTATAAAGATAGGTTAGGTTAGGTTAGGTAGGGTTAGGTTAGGTTCGGTCATATATCTACGTTAATTTTAAAAAAAATTAATTCATGAAAAATTTACCCCATATTAGGAAATGGGTAGTAGGCTTTATCATTTCATAATTAAAAAATTAGAGAACATATATTAATTCAGGAAAACTTGGCTTATTAGGCAAATCGCGCCTTGCATAGTAGGCTGAGAAGTGCGTTCTGGCTACTAGGTACGACATATATATATATATATATATATATATATATATATATATATATATATATATATATATATATATATATATATATATATATATATATATAATATAGCATAATAAATGAACAGTGGAGGATTCATAGATAAGTAATATACTTTAAGCTACTAACTTGAGAACATTTAGGGCATAACTCAAAAGAAAAAACAAGCCATTAAGCTTGTTAATAAAAATATAGTGACTCTTATTTACTGGACTCCTACTGAAACAGAAATCAGTGCACCAGAAGGCTGGAACAGACTGATAAAGACTGGTACAAATCTATCTGCTCAAGCTGAAGTCCATTGTATATAATATCTGTCCAAGAATTTCATTTTTTTGTAAAGAACTATGTTTCTCAATATCTTAAATTTCTTTCAGAGTGATTCAGGACAATATTTTGCTAATATCTCGGGCCCTTAGACATCATTTCGTTATTCCTGAGTGGCATGATTTCACTTCGTACATTGAAGAATTCTATTGGTCTGCCAAGAGCCTCACACTTGGAAAGGTTAGTTAATAAAGAAAGAAGCTCAACACTTCGTTATTGTTTTTTGGAAGTCTCGTTGTTTTTGTTTCTTGTGGAAGTGGTTTGGGCATGTGAGTGATTCTCCCCTGCTATTTTATCACAAATACCATTGTTATCTCTGCAATAATTACTATAGATATGCTCTAAACTTGTACATTTAATTTACCTGATTACAGCTGTAGATCATATGGTATTAATCTGGTGCTGGGAATGATGTGCAGATTCTCAGTCAGTCAGATTAAGCACCATTAGTCTGGCCAGTAACTGTGGGTGACAACATACACATTTTCTTCATCCTGACCAGAATGACCTTGACAAGTCAATTAATTTAAGACTTCCTCTGTCAAATGGGTTATTGTATACCAATCCTCATATTTTCCATATTGATAATTGTGACCTATCAAATTCAAAAGCCCTTAATAAATTATGCAGTGCTTCAAAGGAGCCTTTATATATTTCTTTTGTGTGGCCATATTAACTGCAACTACATGTACCATCCTACTTATAAAGGTTTGTTGAAGATTCAAAGTCTACTCAACAGATTTGAAGTGTAACTTGTAATATAAAAAAAATAATGAAAAATACTTTATCTTGAAATGATGTAAAACCTAAAATTTATGTAAATAAGATGATTGATATTCAAAGTTAAATTACTTCTGTTTTTAACTTTTTATAGATAAATTGTTTGAGATGTGGACAAAATTGTTGCATTTCATATAGAGAGAGCTGTTTTTTCATTAAATCTTGCATTTAATGAAAAAGCCAGCATTTAAAAGTCAGCATTGCATTTAATTAAAAGCCATTTAATAAATATGATGAAATGCCAATTTCTGGGTAAGCCCCGGTGGCTCTCTGAAGTTACCATCTCTGATGTAGGTGCCCCAACTACTAGGTGCCATCAGTTACTCTGGCCTACCGGGGACTCGGAGCCAAGGGCCAGAACCTGGTCACCTCACAGAGGTGCAGAGAGCTGTTACATTTATATAGTAAGTTACAGTATTCATTTATAACTTATTATATAAAGAGAAGCACCCACATCATCAAGATAAAATAAACCACAGCTGGCTCCTCCTGATACCCGCAGACTTAAAAATGGCCTTAGAACTTGCCAAACTACGTAAACAAATGACCAAAAATGTTATAACCCAGCATCTGATCATTTGCCCCATTCTTTCCCTTGCTCAGAGGGAGGAGGGGGCAGGCCATGGATCACTGACTGCACTGCCATCAGTTCGACAAAAAAAGCCTGACACCCCGAGGAAGGGAGGGTGTCAGGGAGCCACTGGGGATGACAGAAAAATTGTCGTTTCATTACATTCAATGCTGGTTTTCTGGAGGTAGACCCTTGTGGATCTCTGAAGCTAGCTACCCAAGGTGAAGAAGAAAAGGGTATCTTTCAGAGAGGAGGGAGCACCGCAGGTATCGACACAAGGGTAAACTGCAGGTTGGCTAGACTCAATGACACTGCAGACGACCTAAGAAATAAGAGTCTTGGAACAGGGAACCAAGGAAAAGGGATCAACTCTCCAAGCATTCACCGTCGCAGAAGAAGTTTGCATGAAGGTAGTAATGTAGAGCTGCCACCAGACACAAAACATGATGCACTCCCTGCTGAACCAACTAATTATTAACAACCAGTGGATCCCTTCAAAAATCAACTAACTCATTTTTTCCAGAAAAGGAGGAAACGGCTGGAGATGAACAAACCTACCCACAGAACAAAACCCCGACATCGAAGGAGAGCAAGAAGCTTCTTCAACATGGTAACCGAAAGCCAAAGAAACCAAGTAAAGAGCCTTAAGAAAGCAATCCCAGACCAAAGGTAACACAGTAAACTAAGTGGAGGACAGAAAATGAAGCACCTATAAAAAAAAGGACAGCTCTGGTGGTGTATGAGCAGGCTGGAGGTGAAACAAGTTCTGAAACATATGCAAGATATGTAATACGCAATATGTAAGATATAAGATAAGGCCAAGGAAATATCGACTCTAAACGCAAGCTGCAGCAGCCGTGTCAGTGCTGCACAAACAATTTCTAACAGGAATCAACCAAATTGACAAAGAGGATTTCATGAAACCAGGAACTTCACAAACAAGAGGACATATTCTCCAGGAATGAGGAAGAGATATTTGACATTCGCAGGCAATGAGTCACAAAAACGTGGCTAAAGTATGATGACCAGACCACACACTAGAAGGTGAAGGGACGACGACATTTCGGTCCGTCCTTGACCATTCTCAAGTCGATTGGTCCAGGACGGATTGAATCGATCCAAGAATGGTCCAGGACGGACCGAAACGTCGTCGTCCCTTCGCCTTCTAGTGTGTGATCTGGTCATCATATTTGACATTCAGTACCTTCCTCCCTTGGGTAAAAGTGACCATGTCTTTTGGGGAATAAAGTATGCAATTCATTATAATCTGGAAGAAAAAGAGGAAGTTGAAGCAGTTGAAAAACCTGATTTCAGATGAGGACATTATAGGGAACATAGAAATTTCTTTAAGGAATTTGACAGCAAGGAAGTAAATGAGATATATGTAAGGTTTTGTGAAATATATGATAAAGGCACAAAAAATTTATACCAAAGCAGAGATGCGGAACTAGGAAATAGGATTGGTTATGTAGGTTAGCCTAACCCCAGTCGATGGCAGATAAGGAAAACTGCAACCACAAGGGGTTTTTCCAGGAGCATTGCTTCCTGAAAACTCTCTGAAGGGGCCAGGTTCTGGCGCTGGTCCCTGGTAGGTCTGAACTCCATAGCTAATGTCCCAGTCTAATATAACATACATTAGCCCGATAAGCTCCAGGGAGCCACCAGGGCTCACCCAGAAAATGGCGTTTCATTAAATTCAACGCTGGTTTTTTGGATTCTGAACATAAAAGTTCTTATTATATACTATGCCACCGGGTCCCAAGAAAGTCAGTGGTAAAGTTCAACCTAGGAAAATAATTGTGAGGATGATGATAGAGGACTAAAACACTTCATTACATTGCCAACTAACCAACTACTGTAACCAAAACTATATTAAATAAATATAAAAACTAATTTCTTTGTTTAATCAACCAAATACATACATACATACACACATACACTTAAACTTACATGACACAATATAAGCATATCATAGAAGTATTATATATTTTAATTGTACAACTATTTATTTTCATTGTATAATAACTGGTATGAATTATAGTACAGTCTGTATCACATCAAAACATATTACTGACAAGTCTTGTATGTATGTTGTATTGCAGGTTGCCGCATACATTCCCCAACTGGCAAGATTTAGTCCAGAACAATGGGGTGTGTCCGTGTGTTCTGTAGATGGTCAACGATATGACATTGGTGACACAAATATTAATTTCACTATGCAGTCTTGCAGGTTTGTTAGCATTATACAGTATTAAGGTATAACATTTTATCATCTTATACTTATTTTTGTTATAATTTTAACTGTATTCTGTAATAATAATAATAATAATAATAATAATAATATATTAATTATTCAAGTTATAATAATAATAATAAATAATAATATAATATAATAATAATAATAATAATTTATTATTCACGTTGATGATACATCAACGTAATTACCTAAGTGTAGTTACAGGATGAGAGCTACGCTCGTGATGTCCCGTCTCCCCAGCACTCTGTCATATAACGCTTTGAAATTGACCAAATTTCAAAATTGATCAAATTGACCAAATGGACAGTTTTGACCTCCACCATCTTCTCGCCTAACTTGTTCCAACCGTCTACCCCTCTGACTGGAAAGACTTGCTGTTAGGACATGAAATAAATGAGATGTATGTCAAGTTTTGTGAAATACAGTGGTACCTCGCATAACGAATTTAATCCGTTCCATGTTCGTCATGTGAAACGGACGTCATACAAAACGAGTGTCCCCCCATGTAACCAGTGTGATGCACTGTGTTTATTGTGAAATTTCCCCAGAGTGCATGACATCAAATGTTCCCCAAAATAAAATTTTTCTTTGTAAAATGATAAATTACCGTCCCTGAACATGTCTATGTAAAAATAATTACCAAATTCCACTTACTTTGGCTGTGAGGGCGTGGACAATAATTATTATTATTATTATTATTATTATTATTAATATAGTTATCTAAATGTTTAATAGCTTTGAGCTCAATCCAAATAATTAGGCCTTATTTTCTCTCATGTTTGGTCTTCCCTCAGTAAACCTGTGACGTATGGTATCGCACTTAATGAGTTGGGTAATGAGATGGTTCACACGTATGTTGGTACGGAGCCCAGTGGTCGAATGTTCAATGCTATTGTCCTCGATTATAATGGTCAGTAGGGATATCTGTTGTATTTGTCAGTACTGTGTATGTTTGTGAAATATTACATATTTTCATATATCTGCAATATTAAAAATGTTCTTGCCATCAATACAATACATATACCGGTACAGTATTTATATTTTTTTATTTCATCATTATTTATTTGTATAATACATACAGTAATAGACAGGTTGGTCTCGGTTACTCTTAAAAGTACTATAATGCTTAAGGGGAAATAATAAGAGCTGTCTGTTACTTCTTCCCATGATAATCTTATTTTATGAATTTACTTAGACTGCAGTGTCTCTTGCTGGAAACTTCCTTCATGTTATCTACTACTGTAGTGTCCTGGCATAGAACTATAAAGAAAACAATATTATTAACATTTTTCATTTTTATTTTCCTTACTTTTGCTTTTCACTTTTTCTGAGAATGAATAATGGTAGTTTTGTGCAGTGCTTCAACTTGAGTGTATTGTCCAGTGAAGGTAGTTGTGATTCTCTTCATATTCACTATTGTTGTTGTTGTTGTTGTTATTATTGTTATTATTATTGTTATTATTATTATTATTATTATTATTATTATTATTATTATTATTATTATTTTTATTATTATTATTATTATTACACAGTAATCACAAATGTAACCGCATCAGTGAGAAAATCCATAGGAGCCGTGATGAGGGTTCGAACCTATGCGGTGGGTGTTCACATGCTCTAGATGACCATGACATGGTATAAAGATTGCACCCTGCAGTTTGTAAGGCACGAGATTGGAAGCCGTACCCTTGAATACAACTAACAAACCCATTCTTACTTTCTTATAAACAATGGGAGGAATATATAGATATATATTCGACTAAAGCATAAGTCGAAGGCAAGAAATCTTATTCAACATGGGACAAGAAATACACCTTGGGTACAATTTCACAACAGTTTTATTGAACAATACAGGGTTATTTTACACTGACTAAATATGGGCGCACACTGTTAAGTTATAGGATTGTTGAGATACAGAGGGATATTTCTCAGCAAACAAATATTAGGAGTGAATTAATAGACTATAGGATCCATACCAGCTGGGACTTACGGGCGCCACAATACTCAACCCTTCCTTGGTAACTCCCCTCCATGGTGCCTCCTTGCCGTGGTGAGGGGCTCACGTACACCTCCCTGGGACCGGTGTGGGTTGCCTGTGCCCCCTCTCCTGCCCCCTCTTTGGGTGGTGTACGTGCTGAAGGGCACCATGTAGGGGCCTTGTGAGCCATCGGACCACCCGCTGGAGGGGTCGCCTGTGAGAGGCCGCCCTGAGTGGATGGTTGGGTGTCCAGGCTGGGGCGATAGGGGGACTGGGGTCTTAGCACCAGTGTGGGAGAATGAACGAAGTAGTAGGACTCCCCAGTTGAAAAGGGGGAGCACCGCTGGGGACGACACACCCTTCCTGCACTGGCCCGCGCTCGGCCTCCCTGGCTGCCCTGGTAGGCCTTTGATACTGTTAATCACAACTACCTCTTACTTAAACTCCATCATTATGGAATCCGAGGCCATGCCCTGGACTATATCCAATCCTATCTTAGTGATAGACATCGATGTGTAGCCATCAATGATATAACCTCTCCCACTCTACCAGTAACCGTTGGAGTGCCACAGGGCAGCATCTTGGGACCTCTTCTATTTCTTATATACATCAATGATCTGCCTAATGTCTCTAACATTCTTAAACCTATATTATTTGCTGATGATACTACCCTCATCTATTCAGACCCCAACCCACACACACTAAATAATGTTGTTAATAATGAACTAAAAAAGTCCACTTATGGATATCTACCAACACACTAACACTTAACATAGAAAAGACCTACTACATCTTATTTGGAAGCAAATCAACAAATGCAATTCAGCTTCAGATAGACAATGTTAACATTAGCAATAAAAATGATGGAAAGTTTCTTGGCCTATTCCTAGACAAGAGACTCAACTTCAGCACTCGCATACAACACATAACTAAGAAAGTCTCTAAAACAGTTGGTATACTCTCCAAAATCAGATATTATGTACCTAACTCTGCTCTCCTCTCACTATACTACGCACTAATCTATCCCTATCTTACATATGGTATCTGTGCATGGAGTTCAACCACTGCAAACTACCTCAAGTCCATCATCACCCAGCAAAAATCTGCTATCAGAACAATAACAAACTCTGCTTTCAGACAACACTCAGCCCCCCCCCCCCTCCTGTTTAAATCCCTAAACATGCTAAACGTAAACTCACTCCACACATTCTCTTGTGCCATCTACATTTACAAAACCCTGTTCTTAAATGCAAACCATGATTTGAAACTCTCCCTGGACAGATGTAATAGAACCCATTATCACCACACCAGAAATAAATATCTCTTTGATATCCCCAGAGTCAAACTTAATCTGTGTAAACACTCTATGCAAATAAAGGGACCTAGTCTATGGAACTCACTCCCTAATGAATGGAAAAGCTGTCCAACTTTTGTCCTATTCAAAAACAAAACCATAAAGTACCTAATCTCATTTTCGTAATTTCCTACCTAGTGCTTTCAACTCGCACTGTATCTAGTGCTACTCAATCCCCCAAATCTTTAGGTACCTAATCCAAATAATGGTATTTTTACTGTTTATATATATATATATATATAAATATATATATATATATATATAGAATATATAATATATATATATATATATAATATATATATATATACAGGCATACCTCAGAATACGGAGGTTAATCCGTTCCTGGAGGACGCCTGTCCCTTCCGAAAACTCGCATTCCGAAGTTAATTATTCCCCATAAGAATAAAAGGAAATGAATTAATCCGTTCCTGACTACCCCCACAAACCCCACATCAAACTAAATTTTTATACCTAATTTACCTACTTTCATCTAAATAAACCTACAAAACTGTGTTCCAGTTATTAATTACCTTGCTGTCCGAGTGCTGTAGGCGTATGGAAGATGGTGAGGAGGGGGGAGGAGGAGAGGTTTTACTGTTTGGAAGGGGGAGTCCCCTTCCATAATCACATCACATAACCCCATGCCTTGTAACACTATGGATACCACTTCTCTTTCTAAATTTTTCAAACCAGCCTCTGCTGCCTTAAACTCTTTCTTATCTGCATCACTCGTTGCAGGGGTATTCTTTAGAAGGTCTTCGTGGCAACACCCTGGCTTTCTCACAAATAATGGCCTCCGAAACACTATCACCCCTCAACTCCTTGTCGTGTATCCAAATTAATAACAACTTTTCCACTTCTTCAAGTATTTGTGGTCTTTGTGCCGTTAATGTTCTTACTCCTTTTGCCACTTTAAGCACCCATAATCTTATTTTTCTTCTTAAGTATAGTGCATATTATTTATAGTGGCTCATTATAGTATATATACCTGCCTACAGATAGTATATACACCAACACTGTACCGTTCCTGGATGCTTCCGAATCGCATCTCATTGTTTTCTCCTCTACTGTCATCCTCACAAATGATATTTCTATACCTTTATCCTTACCTACTGTGTCTTTCTTGGGAGTGCATGGTGAGATATATAATAACAAAGTTGTATAGACATAATCCCAACAAACATCCAACAAAACACTGAAATCTCTTTCGGCGAGAAGAATTGAATGTGGGGGTATCTCACTGAGCGCGGAAACAACTCACTAGACTGAGGTGGCGGAGTGCCGTTAGCTACTCGCGCTAGGTCCGGCTTTACGCGTCACAACAAACACGCGTTCCAAACTCCGAACTCGCCTCCCGAAGTAGACCCTCCTCCTTCTGAGGACAAATATATTGGTAGTACCATACATCCTCGCCTTGATCCCGAGAAACCTCGCATACCAGGGGACAATCGTGCCTCCGAGGTACCACTGTATATATATATATATATATATATATATAGATTATATATATATATATCATATAATATATATATATATATATATATATATATATATTATATATATATTATATATATATATATATATATATATCTATATATTATATATACATATATATATATATATATATATATATATATACTATATATATATATATATATATATATATATATATATAATATATATATATATATATATATATATATATATATATATATAATTTTGCTACAGAGCACCACTTGGTTTCCGAACTTAGTTATCCGAACTTCCAGTGGGGAGTCATGCCACACGAACAAAGTTTGGGTAGGAAGCGGTCCGCCAAGCGTCGCGCTGGCCCATGGTGATGGTGGGAGATGGTCCGTTTGCCGCCTCTACCCTGTGATTTCACAGATTCACGGCCTATTATTCCTATTATTTTGATTTGTCACGAGGCTGGAGAGATTCATTCTGTAATTTTGTTTTACATATTTGCACAATCAAGAAACATCTGTGCACCATGTCGGCTCCAAATGCACGCATTGCGTCAGTGATTGCTGACTGGTGGGTGGCTGGGGGAGCTTAGATGGAAGGCAGTATGAGAGAGAGGGGAGAGAATTAGAGCGAGAGGGAAAATTAGTGAGAAAGGGAGGGGGAGGTAGGCAGGAAGGAATTGTGAGGGGGGGGGGTGGGGTGGGGCTGGTAGAATTAGGGAGGGAGGGAAAGGCAGGCAAGCAGGCTGGCAGGGATTGGCACAGGCAGGCAGGCAAGCAGGCTGGCAGGGATTGGCACAGGCAGGCAGGCAGAGAGGCTGGCTGACTGGCTGGCAGGCTGACAGGCAGGCAGGCAGGCAGGCTAGCTAGCAGGCAGGCAGGCAGACAGGCTGGCAGGCAGACTGGCAGGCAGACTGGCAGGCAGACTGGCAGGCAGGCAGGCAGGCAGGCAGGCAGGCAGGCAGGCAGGCAGGCAGGCTGGCTGGCAGGCTGGCAGGCAGGCTGGCCGGCAGGCAGGCCGGCAGGCAGGCCGGCAGGCAGGCAGGCCGGCAGGCAGGATAGCAGGCAGGCAGGCCGGCAGGCAGGCAGGCCGGCAGGCAGGATAGCAGGCAGGATAGCAGGCAGGCAGGCTGGCTGCTTGACTGCCTTTCCCTCCCTTCCTAATTCTCCTATTCTCCCTCCTAGCATCTCTCCCTACCTTCCCCTCCCTCCCTTTCTCACTATTTCTTCCCCTCTCCCACTATTTCTCCTCTCACTAATTCTCCCCCCCCCCCCCTCTGTTGGTGGAGTGGTGAGGGAGGCAGTTAGGAAGGATTTGCTGACCAGGCGATGGTTGCCAAACTTACCACCCATATTGTATTACAAATTTTAATCTTAGTTGTAAAATATTTATGCCAAAATGTTAATTTTCATATATTAATATACATTATTAATCATTAACATGTTATATGATTTCCTATTTATTAATTAAACAAATATAGTTTTATTTATGAATTATGCACAGTTGGCATCTGTGAGCAGGCGCTGACAGACATGTCCGCCTCTACATAGCCTCCACCCCGTTAGTAGTTCCCAACCCCGTTAGTAGCTCCCCCTCCTCCATAGCCTGCTGTTCTCATGTTATGAGGAAGGCAGTGAGGGAGGGATGGCAGGCATTGAGGGGGAGAGGCAGTGAGGCATTGAGGGGGAGAAGCAGTGAGGCATTGAGGGGGAGAGGCAGTGAGGCATTGAGGGGAAGAGGTAGTAAGGCATTGAGGGGGAGAGGCAGTGAGGGGGGGAAAGGCAGTGAGGGGAAGAGGCAGTGAAGGGGGGAGAGGCAGTGAGGGGAAGATGCAGTGAGAGATAGAAGCAGTGAGGGAGGGAAGGGTGGGGGTGAGTGAACGCAATTACACAATGAACTTTATTTCATTTGTTGCATTTATGCTATGAATCTGTCGATTTTGTCCCTTAGAATTTTTTGTTAAATTTAAAAAAAAATTCTCTGTCCATTTTCCTCCATTTCTTGTTTACGAACTTACACGATATCCGACGGGTCTCGTCCCCAAGGGGTTCGGAAACCAAGTGGTGCTCTGTAGTATTTACCTACTTAAAATTTTCTTAGATTAAGGACCTGCCCGAAACGCTGCGCATACTAGTGGCTTTACAAGAATGTAATTATTATGCTATGTATCCTCACAATCCCACTGTACCTTCTTGTATATATATAAATAAAATAAAATGAAATAAAAAATAAATAACTTTACCATTGTGATCATTGCTGTCTTCTTATATGTGCTATCAATTTGTGTATGGTGTCCATTAATCTTTGTTTAAATTACCAATCAAGCTGTTAGTGCAATCAATCAGAGCTACCAATGTGCTTTAATATACCTACTAATCTCTCTCATCTCATATTTTTCTTGCAATGTATCTGTTACCATTTTATTAATTCTGCTAGAATTGACCTACTTAAAATTATCTGTTAGATTAAGGACCTGCCCGAAACACTGCGCGTACTAGTGGCTTTACAATATTGTAAATACCATGCTATGTATCCTCACAAACCCAATGTACCTTCTTGTATATAAATAAATAAATTAAGTATGTTGTTAGGATGAGAATGAGACTTACATATCAACGTCTACTGAGGATGCTACCCTGGATTCAATCTTATTATTTTTCCTTGACCTCCTGACAATGTCACCTCTATTCCCAACTGCTGATGCACCTGCGGTAATTTCTTCTATGGAAATCATAGTCAGGTGTCTTTCCTGTGATCCTGATATTCTGAGAACTGGAGTTGTTATTAATAGAGGTGTTCATCTGTATGCTGTCCCTCATAACCCTCTCCATACACCAAGAGCTAATACTGCTTACATTCATCCATTTATTGAGACCTAATTTTATTTCACTTAGAATCCTTTTCCTAGTAAAGCTTTTGTTACCAGCAAAAGTATCTAGATTATTTATTAGAACCCCTTCTACTACCCTTCTAGTTCTAATATTATTACTTTTAAAGATTATTTCACTTCTTAAAATCAATATTGTGATCAGCCTTTTTTCCAACTACGGTTTGCTACAGCACTTACCAGCCATGACTCTACATACAATACTTTATGTTCTTCAATTCTGAGCTCAAGTTTTTCCCTGTTTCCCCCACATAGACTGCATTACAACCTCTACACGGTAATATATAAACACCTTCCAGATTATATCTCCTCTGTTCTTGCAAACCCTTTCCCTAATCGTATTTGGGTAACTGAAAAAACCATTACCTTCTTTTTCTTATAGTCAAAAGTATGCTTGATCATCCCAAGAGTTTGGTTAGCTTTTTTTGACTGTTGCACCCCACCTGTTGTGCAACTTTTAATGAGTGGTGAATTTTGACTCCACGGTCCTTTTCTTTGTCAAATTCGTTACATAAATTTCACAAATACATAAATGTGGGTTTTTATCCTATGTTATTATGTCTGTGAGAAGACATTACCATTAATTATTATTATTATTATAATTATTATATTTTTCAGAATTAGCCCCTTTAATAATAGTCAACTTGAAGTGTGTGTATTTACAGTATGATAATGGATGTTACAGTAAAATATCTTCTTTGGATTTTGGGATGAAATAGGTTGAAAAAACTGTACTGTATGGGAGTAGCAGTTTATTTATATAATAAATACCCAATCAAGACAGATATATAGATTTATAATTCACTCTTTTATTGATAGACAGTATCTAATTTACATATCTTAGGTTCCTTGTTGTATTAAAGCATAATGTGTTCTTAAACTTTCCATTATTTTCTTTTACATTATCAGAGTAAAGGTTATGATTGTGCTATAATTTATTAATGCATCCAAAATAAGATCTCATTTTTGTGAAAGTTCTATGTGTAAAATTTCATTTGTATTCTTATTTGAATTACTTTTAGTTGAATATCTTAAATATTTAAAGTATTTATTTTTGTGACTTTACAGATAAGCCGCACAACCCATTAGTTAATGCTGGCTCCATTGTAGTTAATGCCCTGCTGCACAGCCTTGTTAAGCCTGAGATGTCTTCATCTGAAAAATTTGATTTTGTCCAACAATATTTCAAGGTTTGTGGTTTTGTGGGTCATTTTCTTAATTGTTATAACACACTGGGCTTAAATAAATTTCTATAAAAATATGTTTCATAAAATAAAGATACCATGGAAAAACATGTACCATATTACAATTTCCTAGGTATTGGAATTAAAGAATAACTCAAATAAAAAACCACATACTGAAAACATGCTACCAGCCAATGACACTGCCACAGATTGTAAGGTTATGAAGCTTGTAAGCTGTATCCTAGAGTACAAACTCATGAAACCTGCCCTTACTTGCTTATAGTATAATCATGTACTTTAAACCAGGGATGTAGAACCAATATAAATTTATAAAACTTCAAACACATTAATGACCACGTGGGACCAGTACCATTTTTTGCATTGGTGGGAACTCAAGAAACAACCAAAGTGTGTGCATTACATTTATTTAGCGCAGGAAAAGGGATAATGCATTACCAAGGAAAACTCTCACTCACTGGTGTGTGCCAACAGCCTGGTTGATCAGTCCGGCAACCAGGAGGCCTGGTCGACGACCGGGCCGCGGGGACGCTAAGCCCCGGAAGCACCTCAAGGTAACCACTAGTTTAATGATTACAGTTCCCATCACTCGGATATAAATGGAGGTCGGTAATCTCAACCAGTGAGGCGAGTACCTCACGAGCACATACTACACAACCTGTATGTGTGGAGTCTCAGCCCTCTCTCCCAGTGTGGAGTCCAGGGACGCTCCTCTCACGAAATCACGTGGGAAAACTTTACATACAGAATCATACTAATTTATTATTACATACAGTGTGTCCTCACTTGAACGAACTATGTGGGGCAAATTCGATTCGTTCCATCTGTCTGGCCCCAACAACTCGTCTTCCCACCCCCACCCCCCCAAAAAAATTATAACCACATTAATACATATGCCAGGACACATTTTCCTTATGAAAAATTGCACCTGACTCACAAAGTGAGTCCTTGCTAGTGCTGAGTGCTGGTCCGTAAAGAGGTACGATCATCAACCGAGGTTCCACTGTACATTACCCCTTCAAAAAAATTGCTTTCTAGTTTCTTAAAGATTTTGCTGTATTGTGAATTTCATAGTTTTCTCTGATCAGAGCACTATTATATGTCTAACTCTGTCCTTTCTTTTATGTAACCACAGAGACTAGCAGGTGGAGAGAACATTGGCTTCAGCAATGGCACATTCCTGTCCGAGCGTGAAAATGCAGATAGAAACTATTCACTTGGTTATTATATGCGAGAGAACAAGTGCTTTCCTGAGAAATGTGATCTCATGGCTTCATTAGATCTCTACTTTCAGGTAAGTACTCTATACACTCCATATGCACACTATTTACATTATATATATATATATATATATATATATATATATATATATATATATATATATATATATATATATATATATATATATATATATATATATATACACACACACATATGCGAACAAGCCTGAATGGTCCCCAGGACTATATGCAACTGAAAACTCACACCCCAATACAGTATATATATATATATATATATATATATATATATATATATATATATATATATATATATATATATATATATATATATATATATATATATATATATATATATATATATATATATATATATATATATATATATATATATATATATATATATATATATATATATTATATATATATATATATATATATATATATATATATATATATATATATATATATATATATATATATATATATATATATATATATATATATATATATATATATATATATATATATATATATATATATGTCGTACCTAGTAGCCAGAACGCACTTCTCAGCCAACTATGCAAGGCCCAATTTGCCTAATAAGCCAAGTTTTCATGAATTAATTGTTTTTCGACTACCTAACCTACCTAACCTAACCTAACCTAACTTTTTCGGCTACCTAACCTAACCTAACCTATAAAGATAGGTAAGGTTAGGTTAGGTAGGGTTGGTTAGGTTCGGTCATATATCTACGTTAATTTTAACTAAAATAAAAAAATTGACGTCATACATAATGAAATGGGTAGCTTTATCATTTCATAAGAAAAAAATAGAGAAAATATATTAATTCAGGAAAACTTGGCTTATTAGGCAAATCGGGCCTTGCATAGTAGGCCAAAAAGTGCGTTCTGGCTACTAGGTACGACATATATATATATATATATATATATATATGTATATATATATATATATATATATATATATATATATATATATATATATATATATATATATATATATATATATATATATATATATTATTATTATTAAATATGACCGAAAAAGTAAGATTAATAATTCTAACACGAATTTTCTCAATCTTTCGTACATTATGCTTCACTGTTGGAGGTAAATAAAAAATCACTTCTCCAAAATTCATTTTTATTTCTAGTCTGACGCGACACGGGCGCGTTTCGTAAAACTTATTACATTTTCAAAGACTTCACAAATACACAACTGATTAGAACTTGCGTTTCCCTGATTTTATATCTACATTTGAGTGAGGTGGGAAGGGTGATGTGGCATTACATATCTTGCAATCTGACTGTAGGAGGACAAAGAGGGCCATAGTTCCTCTAGCTCGAACTTTAGTTGCTGAATTGGGACCTCAGCAGCAGTTCTCGTCACCAGTTGACACCTCGCACCCCTACACGTCGGTCAGAGATGATGATACATACAACGGTAGGGAATTAGCTTATTTTTTCAGAGCACAAAAGTTCGCTAATTCTGTAGTTGGAAAGTGGAGTTGGAAATTCTGTTGGACGACATATTCGACCTCGAGACACAAAAGAAGGTCACTACCAAAGATACCTTACAAGCAGAACTTATTGCAGAAGGAGGAAAGAATCGAGGCAACTACAGAAGCACCATACTGTCCCCCGAGCTTAGAGCGGGCAGCTAAAAGCCTTCGTGAGAACAAGGAGATAGTTGTCAGGAGAGGTGACAAGTCGCCAATATATGTCATTCTTAAAAAAGACGAATATCTGGCGAAAATGAACATCATACTCTCTGACCAAACTAAGTTCCAAATGGTAACGAAGGACACTACAGCCGAATTAAAAGCAAAGGTCAACAAACTGATCGAAACTGTGAACGCCAAGAAATCCGGACTCCACCTGCCAAAGATCATTGGGGAATATAAACCTGGATATGCGTATGGAAATGTCAAGACGCACAAGCCTGGAAACCCACTTCGGCCAATCATTAGCCAGATACCCACACCCACGTACAGATTGGCGAAGCGACTCAACGGCCTGCTGACTCCTTATGTTCCTTGCGCCTTCAGCCTGAAGTCTCCAAAGGAATTGTGGACTTACTGCGGGGCGCACGGGCCACAGGGATAAGAGCCTCGTTGGACGTAGAATCGCTGTTTACCAACGTACCTGTGGACGAGACAATCGGAATGATAGCCGACAGAGTGTATCGTGATCCAGCCTGTACTCCTCTTGACATGCCAGAAAGTATTCTGAGGAAACTACTCCAAGCTTGTACTAAAGAGGCACCCTTCTTGAGCCCGGATGGGCACATGTATAAGCAAGTAGATGGGGTCGCTATGGGTTCTCCCCTAGGTGTCCTGTTTGCAAACTTCTACATGGGTACCATCGAGCAAAAAGTCTTAGTCGACATGAACTTGAAACCGGCCATATACTGCAGGTATGTTGACGACATTTTTACACAGGTACCTGATGTCAGACATCTGCAGGAGCTGAAGGAGGCATTTGAGCAGAGTTCCGTGCTGCGTTTCACTTACGAGACGGAAAAGGATGGGAAGCTGCCTTTTCTAGATGTAACAGTCATGGAAAAGGGCGGAGGTTTCCACACTGCAGTCTACACAAAGGAAACAAACATAGGAATGTGCCTAAATGCCAACAGCGACTGCCCTGACAGGTACAAGAGGAGTGTTGTTAACGCATACGTCGACCGTGCTCTCAGCCACAGCTCAGAATGGAAGCAAGTCGACGAAGAACTCTGTAGGGTAAGGCAGGTTCTAGTCAATAACGGCTTCTCCAATGGTTTCATCGAAGACATCATAAGAAGGAAAGTGAAAAGCCATACAACCTCCGAAGAGACAACTAACACAACACCTATACCCCCTATTAGACTATTTTACAGGAACTTCTTTTCCACAGCTCATAAAACAGAGGAAAGGGTCCTGAAAGATATTGTTAATAGAAACGTTATCCCTACAGACAAAAATCAGAGGATACAACTGACGATTTACTATAAAACCAGAAAAACGGCCAGCCTACTCATGAGAAACTCTCCAGACACGAAACAGAACGCTTTAAAAGAGACTAACGTCGTCTATGCCTTCAAATGCCCACTTGGGGACTGTAAGCTCCAAAAAACCCAGTATATAGGCAAGACAACAACATCTCTTTCTAGGCGTTTAACGATGCATAAACAACAGGGCTCCATTAAGGAACATATAATCTCTTCCCATAACCAAACCATCGCCAGAGAAATCCTAGTAAACAACACAGAAATCATCGATAGATACAGCGATAGCAGGCGGCTCGACGTTTGCGAGGCACTACACATCAAGAAGTCAACACCAGCAATCAACAGCCAATTATTGCACAACTATATTCTACCCACCTCAAGACTCCGCTCCAATATAGAAGCATCAAGAGAATGATATGGACCAATAGGCTTTCTACAAACACTTCTATTCAATATCCATTGTTTCGTGTTCTGTCTTGTGTTGATACTTTTAATACCCTATTAATATCCTCTAATGCCACATCATCCTTCCCACCTTACTCAAATGTAATGCCACATCACCCTTCCCACCTCACTCAAATGTAGATATAAAATCAGGGAAACGCAAGTTCTAATCAGTTGTGTATTTGTGAAGTCTTTGAAAATGTAATAAGTTTTACGAAACGCGCCCGTGTCGCGTCAGACTAGAAATAAAAATGAATTTTGGAGAAGTGATTTTTGATTTACCTCCAACAGTGAAGCATAATGTACGAAAGATTGAGAAAATTCGTGTTAGAATTATTAATCTTACTTTTTCGGTCATATTTAATAAAATATGTCTACAGGAAAGACTGCTACCAAAATATACTAATATATATATATATATATATATATATATATATATATATATATATATATATATATATATATATATATATATATATATATATATATATATATATACTGAATTCTGAATCTGAATTATGATTCAGGACTGAATCATACTAATTTATTATTACATACAGTGTGTCCTCACTTGAACGAACTATATGGGGCAAAGTCACACATGACAATACTTGGCTATCATGTAATGCAAAGGTGAACAAGTTAGTATGATCTTAAATGCAAAAATAAACTATAAGCAATGAATAAAAGCATAAAGATATACTGGTGTACTGAAGACAGCTACCATACCACCATGGCATTAGTCACACGATGTTGGCTGAAGGCGGACAACGGGTGAGAGACACGAAGGTGTTCCAAGAGCACTAAGGGAAAGACTGGCTCTCCAGGGTTGTTGTTGTTGTTGTTGTTAAAGCTTCGCTACCTGAAACAAAAAGTTCCAAGTAGCATGGGCTATGGTGAGCCTGTAGCTCTCCAGGGTTGTTGTTGTTGTTGTTGTTGTTAAAGCTTCGCTACCTGGAACAAAAAGTTCCAAATAGCATGGGCTATGGTGAGCCTGTAGCTCTCCAGGGAGGCGGCACCCTTTATATAGTCCGGCGGTGATGACTCATCCAGTGTTAACGCAAGATGGACATCTGGTCAACTAGCAAACTGCTCGTTTGTTGCTGGCGGTGCCTTTGTGCTGAGCTGCACCACTGCCAGTTGAAGGCAGCTAACTGCTTGTTTATGTGGGCAAACTACCGGTTAGCAGAGGCACCCAGCTTGCCTCTTGAGTTGTACCAGGCCGTGCCAGGCCTTGGGGGGGGGGGGGGTATGAAGAGGTGGCAGGACTGATGACTCATCTGGGCTGGTGTATATGTAGACTTCCAGTATAGAGGTATTGAGGGTGAAGGGAAAAGGCAGTTCCACTGCTAATGCAGGGGATTCACGTGACAGCTCCTCTCCGAAGCTTTTTCCTAATGCCTGAGATGTCAATGCTGGAAGGAGTGTGGAAGCGGAAGGTTGCACTTCATGAACACGTGATAGTGCATCCGCAACTATCTAACTAGGGAGCCGGTCGGCCGAGCGGACAGCACGCTGAACTTGTGATCCTGTGGTCCTGGGTTCGATCCCAGGTGCCGGCGAGAAACAATGGGCAGAGTTTCTCTCACCCTATGCCCCTGTTACCTAGCAGTAAAATAGGTACCTGGGTGTTAGTCAGCTGTCACAGGCTGCTTCCTGGGGGTGGAGGCCTGGTCGAGGACCGGGCCGCGGGGACACTAAAAAGCCCCGAAATCATCTCAAGATAACCTCAAGATAACCTGGGTATTTTTTCTTTTATTATAACCTCTAGTATTTGCTGTCTTCTCTGGTCAGTGATGGATGCCAGGATTGTTTTATTTTCTACTAGCATGTTGCTAGTGATGTTGTGTTATGTACACTTTGCATATGGTTTCTAGGAGCATCAGCTTGTAGATGGCAGGTCAGTCTTCTCAAAATTTTTGTGGTAGTCATACTGATATAAATAGATCGAAGGTGACATCATTAGGGTATACCACGTTTGCTTTTGGGTGAGGGTTGTATTGTTTATTGGGGTTGTTCTTAAGTATTACAATACTATGTAGTGAGAAAATCTGTAGGAGCTGTGATGAGGGTTCGAACATATGTGGTGGGTGTTCCCATGCACAAGCTCTAGCGACATTGATGCAGTCACGTTAAGTGTGATTACTCTCTGTATAGTATACTATGTAGTATTATTTACTACAAAACAAAAAGAACTACTGATTTAATACTTACATATATGTATTATAAATCAAGTACTGTAATATATATAATATAAATTAAGAATAATTCATTGTTATATACAGGACTACTAAACTGTACAATAATGAATCATACTGTAACTTTATATACCTTAGAAAGGGTGTACAGTACTGTATATAGTATATTTACAGTATTTTGCTTGAGTCCTCTTGAGTTGCCATTTGTAATTATAAACACCTTGTGTGTGACGGTTACAAAGGATGTGTCAGCAGCTGTAAACAAATACAGTACTGCTATCCCCACCATGCTGGATATCAACCTGAGTGAGGGAGGAAGGGGAGGCAGTGAGGGAGAGAGGAAAAGGAAGCAGTGAGGGAGTGGGAGGGACAAGCAGTGAGGGAGTGGGAGTGACAAAGGCAATGAGGGAAGGAGGGAGAGAGGCACACTGCCATTGTTTGGTCCATCTAAGAATTTTGAAATGACTTCTCATGTTCCTTTACAAAATAAACTTGTTGAAAATTGTTCATTTACAGGATTTAATGACCAGGATTCTGATAATATCAGCAGTGTGGTGAGAATTATTGATGTGCATAGTATGGTGGGAGGAGGAATCTTAGCAGTGAGGTGGTGTCGTCAGTTGAGTAGTGGCACACCTTAATTTGGTGTAATTACCTAAGTGTAATTACCTAAGTGTAGTTACAGGATGAGAGCTACGCTCGTGGTGTCCCGTCTTCCCAGCACTCTTTGTCATATAATGCTTTGAAATTACTGACAGTTTTGGCCTCCACTACCCTCTCACTTAACTTGTTCCAACTGTCTACCACTCTGTTTACAAAAGTGAATTTTCGTATATTTCTCTGGCAGTTTTGTTTTGTTAGTTTAAATCTATGACCTCTTGTTCTTGAAGTTTCCGGTCTCAGGAATTCTTCCCTGTCAATTTTATCGATTCCTGTTACTATTTTGAACCTAGTGATCATATCGCCTCTTTTTCTTCTATCTTCTAGTTTTTGCATATGTAATGCCTCTAACCTCTCCTCGTAGCTCTTGTCCTTCAGTTCTGGGAGCCACTTAGTGGCATGTCGTTGCACCTTTTCCAGGTTGTTGATGTGCTTCTTAAGATATGGGCACCATACAACTGCTGCATATTCCAGCTTTGGTCTAATAAAAGTTGTGAACAATTTCTTTAGTATTTCTCCATCCATGTATTTAAAAGCAATTCTGAGGTTAGAAAGTGTAGCATAGGCTCCTCTCACAATGTTCTTAATGTGGTCCTCAGGAGACAGTTTTCTATCTAGAACCACCCCTAGATCCCTTTCTTTGTCAGAATTCTTTAAAGATTTCTCACATAATTTATAGGTTGTTTGGGGTCTATGTTCTCCAATTCCACATTCCATAACATAGCATTTATTCACATTAAATTCCATTTGCCAAGTGTTGCTCCATATACTTATTTTGATCAGGTCTTCTTGAAGGGCATGACAATCATCTAAATTTCTTATCCTTCCTATTATCTTAGCATCATCAGCAAACATGTTCATATAATTCTGTATACCAACTGGTAGATCATTTATGTAGACAATAAAACATCACTGATGCAAGAACTGAACCCTGTGGTACTCCACTTGTGACATTTCTCCATTCCAATACATTGCCTCTGATTACTGCCCTCATTTTTCTATCAGTTAGAAAATTTTTCATCCATGTTAGAAGCTTACCTGTCACCCCTCCAATATTTTCCAGTTTCCAGAACAACCTCTTATGTAGAACTCTGTCGAAAGCCTTTTTTAGGTCCAGATAGATGCAGTCAACCCAACCATCTCTTTCCTGTAATATCTCTGTGGCTCGATCATAGAAACTGAGTAAATTCGATACACAGGATCTTCCAGATCGAAAACCATACTGTCTGTCTGATATTATATCATTTCTCTCCAGGTGTTCTACCCATGTTGGTGGCACTATGCTGCTTGGACTCGCCATACCAGTTTAGTGGTTCGTTATGGTGAACACAAATGTAGATACTTATATATAACTTGTGAATATATTGTAATGACAGCAATAACAGTATGTTGGTAGGGGAATGTTGGTGAGGGAGGTGGCGTCATCACCTATCTGGTGTGTGGCGGCCGCTATATGCTCAGCCTCCAAACTGAGGTGTGAGTAGCTGTGCTGGGGTCTGGGGCTCCCCCTCCCCCTCCCCCTCCCGAGAAAAGGAAGGCTGTGCGGACAAACGGCGTGGCGGTGAATGACGCTTGCTTGTTTGCTTGTTTCCTTATGTTTTGGGGGGCATTCTGTCTCTCTGCTCAGTCTTCGGTTGAAATTTCTTACCAAGTGGGGTTTGTTTTGTTATGCCTACCTTTCTGGGTGCCTAACCCCGGTCGATGGCAGACATGGAATGCTCCCAAACACATGGGGGTTTCCATAGGTCATTGCTCCCTGCATGTGCCTCTCCGAGTGGGCCAGGTTCTGGCGCGTGGTCCCCGGTAGGCAGAACTCCATTGACTGATGCCCCAGACTAATATAGCGTATATCAATCCGATAGCACCAGGGAGCCTCTGGAGCTCACCCAGAAAATGGTGTTTCATTACATTCAACGCTGGTTTTTTTATATTTTCCAAATCTGACTAAATCTATGCAAACATTCCCTGCCAATAAAGGTAGGCCAAAATGTTGAACTCCATTCCTAATGAACATAAAAAATGTATGCTATTTAACAATTCCCTCACAGTGGATAAATGAGCTTGTGTGTTTAAGTAAAACAAAATATAACGGTAAATTTTCTTTATTTTCTTATAAGAACCTTTGACTTCACTTACAGATAACATGTTAACACTGAATCTTACAGTGGTGGAGGTTGTTGAGAGTAGGGAAGGAGAATAAATGCAGGAACATGTGGTGCCACTTTAGAGGCACCAGATAATGTGATATAATAATATACTGTAGTAATTGCCAGAATTAGATTGAGCTATATTACCTGTGGATGGTAACTGCAGATAATAAATCTCCCACTCTTGAGTAGTTTACATGTAAACATGTACTTTCCAACATTTTATTACTGAATATTCAGTCATTCACCTATTTAGACCTGCCATTTGAGGTGCATTGAGCGCTCTCATTATTTTATTCATTCTTGTGTATGGGAAGATGTCCTCATAATCATGGAAAATAGAAAATAACAAACGGGACAAAGAAAATAACAAAGTTTGTTAGTTTATGAAAAACTAATGTGAAACGGGGTTGTAAGTATTGTATACCATACAATAAATACTCTTGTATACTCTTGACATAAAACTATGTAGATTTTTATATATTTTAGGATACCAATATATATGTATAAATACAAATGTACTTAATTATGTTAAAAAATGGAAACATGGTAATTACCTAAGTGTAGTTACAGGATGAGAGCTATGCTCGTGGTGTCCCGTCTTCCCAGCATTCTGTCATATAACGCTTTGACATTACTAATAGTTTTGGCCTCCACCACCTTCTCACCTAACTTGTTCCAACCGTCTACCACTCTATTTACAAAAGTGAGCTTTCTTATATTTTTCCGGCAGCTTTGTTTCGTAAAATAATGGTGTTTATTTTCGTAATGGTGGCACTACTGCAGTGTGACTAGAAACATAATAGCACTATTGTTAAAAAATTGTGAATATGGTAGCCCCACTACAGATTTGGAATTGGCAATGTGATGGCACCATTGAAAAGTAACTAGGAATGACAACTGTAGGGTGACATAATATATTGCTATTACTGTATAGAGACTGGAAGTAAATTAGTACTGATGTAGAGGATCTTGAAACATATGGCATCACTGTAGATTTCTTTGTGAAGGAAGGAAGGATAGGAGCCATAGTATATAGAAAGTGGAATTGGAACTAGGAACATATGGCTCCACTATGAAAGACACTGATACATGGCAATGAAACATGACAACAATGCTAGACATCTGCCTTTGACAGTATGACATAGCCATTATAACAAAACGAAAGATCAGTGTGTCTGAACAGTTATAACAAAAATGGGAACAGTGTAACAAAACAGTCATAACAAAATGTGGGAACATTGCATCACAACAGTCATCACAAAACTGGCCAACACTGGAACACAATCACTGTAACAAGACAATAAAGCTAAACTTATAAACTTTCAAACAAGACATCAAGCAAAATCAAATGAGATGTATGTGCCTCCACAACTTAAAGTTAAATGTGTATAAAAATTATAAAATATTCATCAACGATTCAATCACAGTATATCTCATGGACTCTTATTTTTTGTTTTTTGTACTGGAGCTTTATGCAAAGGGAAGGTTTAGTGTGTCACTTTGAGGACCTGTTGAGTAATGAAGCTAACTTCTTGGATAACTAGCAATAAGAAAACTATGAAGGAAGAAATGGAACTTTTAAATTGTTTTTAATTTGATTAACTCAAGTACAAAGGACATAACATGTAGTTGATAAATCATTCAACAACCTCATAATGGTGCTTGCGTATAACTCTAATTGGGTAATATTACATGACATAATGATGACCAAACAATGAAGTCATGGAGGAGTGGTCAGAGATGTATGGATGTCTTTTACCCTGTCATCATGTCCATAAATTCTGCAGAAAGAATAATATACATTATTATGCATATTGATATTAGCTATTAAGTGCATTAGTGAATATCAGTAAATCATGGAATTATGATGGTAAAATAAAAAATTTTTGGGAGTTCACAGCTAAAACCTACCATCAAAGTCGACAGTGCCAGAGCCATCCTGGTCAATTTCATCAATTATGCCATCTAGCTCCTCATCAGTGAGCTTGTCATCCAGCTCATGCAGAATCTCTCGCAGCACTTTCGTTGGGATGAATCCTTCACCTGCCAATGAAAGTAATGGTGATTGGCCAGAGGTCATAGTATTGTCCAGAATTGCTAAAATAATAATAATAATAATAATAATAATAGTGGCGCCTCGACTTACGATTGCCCCGACTTACAATAATTTCGAGTTATGATGTAAATTTGATCGAAAAATGCGACTCGACATACGATGGTGTCACTGACTAACGATATTTGTTGGTACATGTTCGAGTCAACCGAGCACGTGGTTCCCAGTCACGTGGGCCGACCTGCCTCAGTTTACTACAGCTGCCCGCTTAGTGACGATCACGCCTATAAAAATTCCGTTTTTGTGGTGATTTTTTGCTTTTTGAACATAAAAGTAATTATTATATATCATGCCATGAGTCCCAAGAAAGTCAGTGGTAAGGTTCAACATATGAAAACCCATGTAAGGATGACCATAGAGCAAAAACAAGAGATCATTCGTAAATATGAAGATGGTGTTCGGGTTGTTGAACTAGCTAGGCAGTACAACAAATCTCAGTCAACGATATCCACCATACTGGTTAAGAAAAAGGACATTATGAGTGCTAAAGTGGCAAAAGGTGTATCAATAATCACGAAACATACAACACAAACACTTGAGGATGTTGAACAGTTGTTATTAATTTGGATACACAACAAGGAGTTAGCGGGTGATAGCGTTTCAGAGGCCATCATTTGTGAAAAGGCAAGAAAATTGCATGAAGACCTTTTAAAGAAAACCCCTGGAATGAGTGATGCAGAAGCGAAAGAGTTTAAGGCAAGCAAGGGATGGTTTGAGAAATTTAGAAAAAGAAGTGGCATTCATAGTGTTGTGAGGCATGGGGAGGCTGCCAGCTCAGACAAACCAGCGGCTGAAAGATTCATTGGCGAATTTAAAGATTTTGTGCAGAGTGAGGCATACCTACCACAACAAGTGTTTAATTGTGATGAGACAGGACCATTCTGGAAAAGATTGCTAAAGAAAACAATCATTACCAAGGAGGAGAAGTCATTGCCCAGACACAAGTCTATGAAAGATTGGTTTACTCTTGTGTTGTGTGGTAATGCGAGTGGCAATTTGAAAATTAAACCCTTGCTTGTGTATCATTCTGAAAATCCAAGGGTTTTCAAAAAATATATTGTGCAGAAACACAAAATGTGTGTGATGTGGAAGGCTAATGGTAAGGCATGGGTGACTAGGCAATTTTTTACTGAGTGGGTGAATGAGGTGGTGTGTCTTGCCATCAAAAAATATTTGCAGGAGAACAGTTTGCCACTCAAGGCCCTGCTTCTCCTCGACAATGCTCCTGCCCATCCTCCAGGCTTGGAGGATTCACTGATGGAGGAATTTAGTTTTGTTACAATTAAGTTCCTTCCTCCCAACACCACTCCTCTACTTCAGCCTATGGACCAGAAAATCATTGCCAATTTTAAGAAACTTTATGAAAGGGCATTTTTCCGGAGATGTGTCAAAGTGAAGGATACCACAAACTTCACCCTCAAAGAGTTCTGGAAAAACCATTTTAACATTTATAGTGCTTTAAAACTTGTTGACAAAGCCTGGCAAGAAGTGACTGTAAGAACCATGATCTCTGGCTGGAGAAAACTGTGGCCTGAATATGTTGCAGAATGAGACTTTGAGGGGTTTGAGCCGGAACCTAAAGTGCCTATAGTTGAGGAAATTGTTTCTTTGGGTCGGCAATTGGGTTTGGAGTTGGATAGTGCTGATGTGGAGGAGTTGGTGGAAGAACACAAGGAAGAACTGACCACCGAAGAACTCCAAACCCTTCAAAAAGGAGCAGCAAGAAGAGGCAGCTGAGGAAATTTCTTCAGGGGAAGATGTGCCAGTACAGAATGTCCCTTCCTCAACAATTATTTATTTATTTATTTTATTTATTTATGCATATACAAGAATGTACATAAGGAATGTGAGGATACAAATATGGTAATTACAGTCTTGTAAAGCCACTAGCACGCGCAGCGTTTCGGGCAGGTCCTTAATCTAAGAAAATTTTAAGGAGGTAAATACTTGCAATATTTATAGACAAAAAAATAATCACACAAAAATTTCACACAATTAAGAAAATGTGTGCAGCATGGGAAGAATGGCAAACCTTTGCTGAAACGACTCACCCAAATCTAGCTGCAGTAGGTCGTTGCCTTAACTTATTCAATGACACTGTGATGCATCACTACAGACAAATGTTAAAACGAAGGGAAAAACAAGTGTGTCTTGACAAATTTGTAGTGAGACAAACAAGCAGTGAACCACAATCAGGTTCTAGTGGAATTCAGGCAAAACGTAGGAGAAAGAGTACCCCAGAGAAAACATCACTGCCTGATGTTATAATGGAAGGGGCCTCCCCTTTCAAACAGTAACACCTCTCCTCCTCCCCCCTCCTCACCATCTTCCATACGCCAACAAGAGTCCTCCATAAAGGTAAGATTAACATATGTACTGTATTGTAGTTAGAAAAAACATTGTATTCAGTATAAAATGTATTTGCAAGTTAATATTTTGGAGGGTGGGGAACGGATTAATTCAATTCACATATATATATATATATATATATATATATATATATATATATATATATATATATATATATATATATATATATATATATATATATATATATATATATATATATATATATATATATATATATATATATATATATGTCGTACCTAGTAGCCAGAACTCACTTCTCAGCCTACTATGCAAGGCCCGATTTGCCTAATAAGCCAAGTTTTACTGAATTAATATATTTTCTCTAATTTTTTTCTTATGAAATGATAAAGCTACCCATTTCATTATGTATGAGGTCAATTTTTTTTTATTGGAGTTAAAGTTAACGTAGATATAAGACCGAACCTAACCAACCCTACCTAACCTAACCTAACCTATCTTATAGGTTAGGTTAGGTTAGGTAGCCAAAAACGTTAGGTTAGGTTAGGTTAGGTAGGTTAGGTAGTCGAAAAAACATTAATTCATGAAAACTAGGCTTATTAGGCAAATCGGGCCTTGCATAGTAGGCTGAGAAGTGAGTTCTGGCTACTAGGTACGACATATATATATATATATATATATATATATATATATATATATATATATATATATATATATATATATATATATATATATAATATATATATATATATTGGTGTATACTGGCAGCAGGTTTTCTTTTAAACATGTCTCATTGAATATGACTGCATATTCTGTATTTACTATCTTCTGATTTAGAGCTTCTATCCCTCTATTTTCTTAGCATCAGGGCTTAGCTGAAAGAGGAGTTCTCCAAAACTCATTTTTGTAATTTCAAGGTGAAGAAAAAAGTGAATTACTATAGAATGTATTACACTTATTTATACAATTTGTACGTTTCGAACCTCTATGGTTCATTCCCAAGTGAAAAGAATTTACAGAACTGGTTGATTTATACCCGCACTGGGTCAGGTGATAAGACAATAAAGGTAAAAACATTGGGGATACATAAGGGATAAATGTGGGATGAAGCACATAAGAACATAAGAATAGAGGTAACTGCAGAAGGCCTATTGGCCCATACGAGGCAGCTCCTATCTACATACAAAGATTAATCAGGTGTAATTGGCCTGTTATGTTGAACAGTGTCTTCTGTGTTGTCATCGTTATGTTCTGGTCTTGTCCTTACTCTCATGGTGGGTAGCGTAAATAGTTCCATGATTTGGGTGTTCATGGTAGGTTGTTCTATTCTTATGTGAATTGCTTCAAGAATTTGTAATCTTCTTGCATCTTGGGTTTTGTCTATTATACAGGTATTTTTGTTCAACATTTCTCTTGTTAGGGTGATGTCATGGGCTTGTCTAATGTGATTCCTGGGGGCACCGGATTGAAGATGACATGTCAAACGCCTCGTCAGCTTGGTCGACGTCATACCTATGTTCTTAGCTTGAAGGTTACATCCTTCGTGGGGGCAAGTGTATATGTATACAACGCTTGACTGCTGTAGAGGGTTCTTCATCGGCTTCGGGCTGTTTTTGATAAGGAGTTTGGAAGTCTTCTTGGTTTTGTAGAATATGATCAGGTCTATGTTTTGGTTAGGAGTAATGCTTTTTACTCCTTTACGGATTATTTCTTTCATTATTCTTTCCTGTTTTATATGTTCACTGTGCATGGTTAATTTGTAATATAATTTTATTGGAGGTATTGTGGTTTCTGTTCTAAGTTCAGGATTATACCATCGGTCCAAGTGTCTTCTTATAGCAGCGTTTATTGCCGCGTTGCTATATCCGTTGTTCACCAATACCTGAGTTACTCTTTTTTATAGTAATGTAATACTGTATATAGTAATGTATAGTAATGTAAAAAATATAAACTCTTTTTTTTATAGTTACTCTATTTATAGTAATGAAGAGGACCATAGTGTATATACCAATGTACAACAAAATTAGAAAGTAAAAATTGGCACTATTGAGTTGAACAAACCGAAAAACTATGTTCTACTTATGTTGCAAAGATAAATTAAACTAACCTATCCTTCCTAGGCCTAATACATGATATATGAGGCCTAATATAGTACAGTGGTACCTCGGCTTACGAGCGCCCCTGGTTACGAGTTTTTCGGGTTACGAGCAGGATTTGCCCAGAAAATTTGTATCAGGATACGAGGGTTGCCTCAGGATACGAGTTTGTTGATACACGTATGGGCCAACCTAGTGCGTGGTGGAATGGCGATCACTGCTCAGTTTGCCAGTGCCTCGCGCCCAGTGACTCTCCCGCCTAAATTCTTCACAAGGATTTACCATTTATTTTCGGAGTTTTTGCTATTTGAGCATAAAATTTGTTATAATATACATCGCAGTGGGTCCCAAGAAAGCCAGTGGTAAGGTTCAAGGCAAGAAATCACATGTGAGGATGACAATAGAGGAAAAGCAAGAGATCATTCGGAAGCATGAAAATGGTGCACATGTTGTTGAACTTTGTAGGCAGTACAACAAATCCACGTCAACGATATGCACTATACTTGCCAAGAAAAAGGATATTATGAGTGCTAAAGTGGCAAAAGGAATATCAACAATCACGAAACAAAGACCACAAATACTTGATATAGTATGAGTGCTAAAGGCCCTGGTTGCACAAATACAGTAAATTTCTCACAGTAAAGTTCCTTCCTGTTAACACCACTCCTCTAATTCAGTCTAACCAGAAATCAAGGAAAAGAGTTCTGGAAACGCCATTTTAACATTTGTAGTTCTTTATCAACTTTGAATCACAATGAAGAAACAATGTGGGAAGAGATGCAAACTTTTATTGAAAAGACTCACCCAGAAAAAGCTATAGTACCACAAATACAAAGAACATTGAGGAAGTGGAATAGTTGTTATTCCGTATGCCAACCTTGATAAAAGCCAAACTATGAATACACTCTGGCTTTCTGTCTATCAACATAGTGAATTATATTTGTGCTATACTAGGCCTAGGAGTATTTAAGTTTGTGTTTTAGCTTCATTTTCTTTCAGATTCTATAAAGTGGACAGTACAAAGTTCTTCTCTCTAATTGCTTAGAATGGCAATGTTTGTACTTGTACTATGGTGCACATAATTACAAATACTATTATCTAAACAGGAAAAGGGGTTGGCTAGGTTGGCCAACATAAGAACTGCTTTTAGAAACTTGTGTAAGAAATCATTCAGAATTTTGTATACCTAAGGAGGGTAGAAACGGCCTAAGCTACTCTATCCTTTAGAGATATATTTTATGGTCAATAAACGTACTTGAACTTGAACCTTGTATACCACTTATGTCAGACCAATCCTGGAGTATTCAGCTCCAGCCTGGAGTCCTCACCCAGTTAAACTCAAGACAAAGTTAGAGAAGATTCAAAGTATGCCACCAGACTAGTCCCAGAACTGAGAAGTATGAGCTAAATAGGAGCTAAACCTGTTAGGAGCTAAATCTAAATAGGAGCTAAAACCTAAATAGGAGCTAAACCTAAATAAACAGGAGCTAAACCTCATGTCCCTGGAAGACAGAAGAGTAAGGGAATGCATGATTACCACCGACAAAATTCTCAGGGAAAATGACAGAGTGGGCAAAGACAAACAATTTAGCATGTGTGGAACATGAACAAGGGGACACATGTGGAAACTTAGTACCCAAATGAGCTACAGAGACATTAGAAAGAATTTTTTTAGTGTCAGAGTAGTTAACAAATAGAACCCATTAGGCATTGATGTGGTACAGGCAGACTCCATACACAATTTCAAATGTAGATTTGATAGAGCCTAATAGACTCAATAATCTGTATACCAGTTAATTGACAGTTGAGAGGCAAGAACAAAGAGCCAAAGCTCAACCCCCGCAAGCACAACTAGGCGAGTACTGCGCAAGGGCAAAACACCAAAGAAAACTGGAAAACAGAGCCAGGTCGACAGCGACCACTTGGCCTGGCATCAATCAAAGAACTGAATGGTGGCGACCTAACTTACCTAGGCCAGCTTCCTCTCCCCCGTGGTGGGGAGGATGGAGCTAATGAGCAGAGGGTTAGTTGGATGAAGTTTTGCTTGTTTGTTTGCTTTCTGGGGAAGTTCTTGTGTGCTTGTGAGGACATAGCTGACAATTCTCAACCAGATAGTGGTCTGTTTTGATTTGCCTACCTTTCTGAGCCCTTCCCAGTCAATAGCAAGATGACATATTGTAAAAGTAAAGTGTTCATGGCTATTGCTCCCTTTGCCTCTTTGAGGGGGGACCAGGTTCTGGTTCATGGTCCCGGTAGGCTTACAAAGAACTCTGGGACTGATGACACTCAAGTTGTAAGGCATTTGACCAGTTAGATAGCTTCAGGGAGCCAATGGGGCTCCCCACAGAAAGGATAAATTTGCTATAAATTTTGTTCATTTGCACAAGGTAAATAACCTAAAAATGGATGCAAATGTTAAGGGTTAATGTACAGTATGTATCAGGTTGAGTATTAAGCCACTTTATAACAAAAATACTTTAAATCTATATGTTGCCCTCCATTCTCAGCATGTGTTTAATCAATCTTCGTGTTAAACATTTATTTCTATGATATAATAAAAACATTCCCCAACAGCCATTTCAAGATTTTCTATATACATTACCCACAGTGTTTCCTCCACAATGCTTGAAAGTGAATTATCTCATGTTATTAAATCTGAGCTTCCATGTGGCCATGCCAGATCATATTCTTGTCTAATTCCTTTGAGGCTTTATGCTCCTTGTTTTCCCCAAGAAGCTATCTGCTAATTATTTTATTGTCCTCAATTATTAATGGATGTTCAGGGGCAATTGAGCGACAATGCTAAGCAGTAAATTACAGAATGATTGTTGTCAAGTGGAGAGGTGTATGGTGTTCTTGATTTGAAAATCATTGATGCTGTTAGATAGTGAGGGCCTATGGTCTTGTTGAATGGTGAGGGGCTATTGTATTGTTACATGGTGAGGAGCTATTGTACTGTTAAGTGGTGGGGGCTATTGTAGTGTTAAATGGTAAAGGGCTATGGCAAAAGCACTGAACAAGGTGAGGCAGGAACACAAAAATAGAAGTAGAAAGAAATAATGAAAGTATATGGATGCAGCAAGCAGTGCAGTTGAGGCAAAGGTGGTGGGCCAAGTGTGTGTACTGTACCATTCTTGTCATATAGTCTGAAGGCTTCATAAAGTTCTTTCTTGAGCTCCTCCTCATCCTCCTCATTCATGAATTTGATCGCCAGCAGCACGAACTCATTGAACTCTAACTCGCCTGAACCTGTGGTGAGTCATGAAAACTAATGAATATACAGGTATTGGAATATGCAAATGTCATATTAAATATGCAGAGATGGCTCAGGCTGGGAATTCTCTGGATGTAAGGGAAGATGATGATGTAGATATTATTGTTGAAATGTGTGGAATTTGGCTCATTTGTAATTTTACCTTAGGACAATTTTGAACTTTTGAGAAATTTAACATCTGACTACAATATAATATTTTCCATGCCTACATATAATAGTAATAATAGTAATATAGTAATAATAATGATATTTATAACAAATATTATACAGGATCTGATTACAATATTACATATTCAGTAGGTATTTGTATACGTTTTAAAGGAACTAATCATGCGCAGCATCTTGGGTAAATGTTACATTGAAATACGTGTTTATGGTATTACTTGATACTATGAAATGTAAATTAATATACTATACAGTATATGTAAAAAGTGTAAAAAGTTAATCTAATGATACACAGTTTTACAGTGATATTTAATATAGATTCTGTAACTTTAGTGGTAAATATTGGTTTTAATATTTTAATATTTATATATTTTGTTTTTTATGAGACCATTAATCATACTCTCTCTTATGCAATTCTTAAAACTAACAAATTGGTCACATGATAAAGTTTAGAGTTAACATGGCTTTGCTTTATGCTGTTTCCGTGTTGTAATGGAAAGACGCTTGCCTGACGTTTCGCGAGTGCTTTGTCGTGGGTTTGTATCCTAGCTGGGGAGGATTTACTGGGTGTCAATCCTTAACTGTAGCCTCTGTTTAAATTGATTAATTAGGATTAAAGACCTGCTCAAAATGCTATGCATAGTGGCTCTACAAGAATCCTTGTCACGGCCCTTGTGGATTTGTTCATAAGAATGTAAGAACGCTTGTATATACTGTATATATAAAAAACTTGTATATAAGATAGTTCAATAGAATTTAAATATTTATATAGTGGAATGTGAATTTCAGTTGACTTAGGAGGACCTCAATAAATCTAACAGGCTTCTTGACCATGACTATAAGAGATCAAACCTGTACTGATGTTTTCCATGTTACCTAGCTCAGTTTTCCATATGTTACCAAGAGCTTCAATAAAGTTTCCTTTATTGGATGCCTAATTTATGCACCCAGTACCTTTCTGGGTGCCTAACCTCAGTCGATGGCAGATAAGGAAAAACCCCAATCACAGGGAGGTTTTCCAGGGCCATTGCTCTCTGAAACCTCTCTGAAGGGAACAGGTTCTGACTCGTGGTCCCTGGTAGGTCTGAACTTGATAGCTAATGTCTCGGTCTAATATAACATATATTAGCCCGATAAGCTTCAGGGAGCCATAGGGGCTCCTCTCAGAAATGGGGTCTGTTTGAAGAGCCCTGAGGAAGCTGATGTGAACCCCATGTAGTCACAGTAGTTTTGAATCAAACGCTATACCTATGAGATCCCTGAGGCATGTTGCAGACCACCCGTCGAGAGCCTCAAGGCGCATTGCGCAGTGCAGTGGTTAATCCTTGGACGGCACAACTATTAATAGCCGACAACACTGCTGTGCGCCAGAAAAAATTTCAAACAAATTTTTTCATTCTAAGATTGTTCAAATGATCTGATCATGGGTTGTTCAAATGGTCCCTGATCATGGGGGAAAAAAAATCATAAGTGACATATTTTGGATGTGATAGGGTGAGGAAGTCTGGCAAGATTCAGGCTTTGACAGAGTAGTCATCCGGGGCAGGTCTCCTCCACCCAAGCTGTCAGGCGGGAGTTGCGAGTTTCCACAAACTGATTGATTGATTGACAGTTGAGAGGCAGGCCGAAAGAGCAGAGCTCAACCCCTGCAAGCACAACTAGGTGAATACAAAGATATTATTACCTAGTTATTTCAATGTCTCTGATTATTATTATTTTATTTTATTTTTTTTTTTGTACTGTAATATTATTCAATAGTGTGTAGTGTGATATATTTATATAATAAGGTGTGTAAACCATTGCTATACTCAAAAGTATGGTGTGCATATTAGGGATTCAGTTATTATATTCATATAACAATAAAAGAATATTTTTGCTGTTATTACACTATATGCTCATGTTATGTAGAAGTATCTTAATCAATCAATGTTTATTCAAAAGAATGTGTGTACAAAGGACATAAGAGCAATGTACAATTATTAGGGACAGGAGTTTCACATACTAATGAAGCCACTATTACACAAAGCATTTTGTGTAAAACATAACATAAAGACAAAAAAGTTAACTAAAAGTGTGTGGGGGTAAAACTCTTAATACTAATGAGAAATGAGTTAACAAAATGAGAACAATCATGGAAAATAACACAAATGCAAAAAAGGAAATATTTAAGGATGACAGGCATAGACTATCACAATATGGAGTCAGTAGATGTAGTAATAGTACAGTAGTTTATTTACATTAAGGGAGGAAGGGTGAGTTTGTTGGCAGTTAGCCAGAGATGGACTTTATTTAGTACAGTATTCACTGTGACATTTAGAGCAGGAGGGTCAGGACTGGAGAAAATTACTTCTGGAGAAAAACTATATACAATCCTCAAATTACACACTATTGAATAATATTACTGCAAAAAACTAGATATAAGACCATTGAAAAACATTGACATAATTATGTAAAATTATATTTGTGGCAGGCCCTGTATCACTGCTCGGCTGGAGCACATCGCTGCTGGCATGACCACTCTCGGGGAATTAATATTTCCACACTTCTTCATCCCATTATAGCCAAATTATGTCATATACAACTTTTTGTTTAGTTTCCCATGATTAGAGAATGCATTTTAACAATATAAGAACAAAAATTGCAGAGAAATAATTTTTTTCTGCACACCCATGGCTTGTCATATTTTATTCCTGTGCAGTGCAGTGGCTAATTGCATTTACAGAGATGAGTTGAAGGCAGTTTCTGTTTGTTCTGTATCTCACAGTGAGTGTGGGTTGTTTTAGGGTTTTTGGCTGAATGGGAAATCTGTTTTGTTAGGGAAATTGACACTTACATAAGTCCCTTTGGCTGATACTTTAACTGTTAGAGCTGATTGTAACATATTCATTCAGGCTAAATTATATCCAAGAACTGAGAAAATAAAGTACAAATATACTGACCATCAACGTCGACCTCCTCAATGACCTGGTTGAGAATCTGGCGGTTGACAGTCTGTCCCATCATCCTAAGTATGGTACCTACGATTTCAGTGGAGATGGCTCCACGCTTTTCAGAGTCAAAGCTGTCGAAGGCTCGTTTGAGGACTGTCCATGAGAAGAGAGAATGTATCAGTTTGCTTCACTAAATCAACCATAATTTCATTACAATATGTATGGTATGTATGATATGTACTGTACAAAATAGTACATCACCCTAACCTACCCGATGACAGTCAAAGCTGTAAAGGATCTTTGCATGCTCTCCAAGTCAGCAATTTCTCCAGCTTTGAATAGGGCTGTTAGTGTGCAACAGTATTCTACTCTGCACTAATTTCTTAAAAAGTATCATCACTGGCATGGCATCTCTTGTTTGGAAGGATCTTGTTATCCAACCTGTCATTTTTCCTGCACCTGTGACAGCAACTTTATTGTGTTCATTAAAAGTAAGGTCTTCCAACATGATTATTCCTAAATCTTTTACATTGCTTTTTCTTTAAATAGTGTGGTTTGACTGTGTTTTTTTATTTGGTTTCTGCTTTGATGTGTTCATCTTTTTCATAGTACAGTAATTGGAACTTACCCTCATTAAACATCATGTTATTTTCTGTTGCCCATTCAAAGACTTTTTTTTTTTTTTTTTTTTTTTGAGATATATACAAGAGTTGTTACATTCTTGTATAGCCACTAGTACGTGTAGTGTTTCGGGCAGGTCCCTGGAATACGATCCCCGCCGCGAAGAATCGTTTTTACAACCAAGTACCCATTTTACTGTTGAGTTAAACAGAGGCTACAGTTAAGGATTTGCGTCCAGTAAATCCTCCTCGGCCAGGATACGAACCCATGACAAAGCGCTCGCGAAATGCCAGGCGAGTGTCTTACCACTACACCACGGAGACTGGTAAACAGACAGAGACATCAGATTGGAGGTTCTCTATGTTGTCTATTCTCATGAAAATTTTAGTGTCATCTGCAAAGGAAGATACAGTACTATAGTTTGTGTCCTTGTATCCTTTTATATGTCTGATATGAGGATGAGGAAAATACCAGAGGAAGCACAGTACTTTGGGAACTGAGCTTTTCACTGTGGATGATTCAGATCTTACTTTGTTGAGTATTACACTCTGGGTTCTGTTTGTTAGGAAGCTAAAATCCATCTTCCTACTTTGCCAGTAATTTCTTTTGTGCACATATTTTGTGCAATAACACAATGGTCACATAAGTCGAAGGCTTTTACAAAATCTGTGTATATTACATCAGCATTTTGTTTGTCTTCTATGGCATCTAGGGGCCATGTTATGGTAATTACCTAAGTGAAGTTACAGGATGAGAGCTACGCTCGTTGTGTCCCATCTCCCCAGCACTCTTTGTCATATAATACTTTGAAATTACTGATGGTTTTGGCCTCCACCACCTTCTCACCTAACTTGTTCCAACCATCTACCACTATGTTTGCAAAAGTGAATTTTCTTATATTTCTTCGGCAGCTTTGATTAATTAGTTTAAATCTATGACCTCTTGTTTTTGAAGTTCCAGGTCTCAGGAATTCTTCCCTATAAATTTTATCGATTCCCGCTACTATTTTGTACATAGTGATTATATTGCCTCTTTTTCTTCTGTCTTCTAGTTTTGGCATATTTAATGCCTTTAACCTCTCCTCGTAGCTCTTAACTGATCTTCAGTTCTGGGAGCCACTTAGTAGCATGTCTTTGCACCTTTTCCAGTTTGTTGATGTGCTTCTTAAGATATGGGCACCGTACAACCGCTGCATATTCTAGCTTTGGTCTAACAACAGTCGTTAACAATTTCTTTAGTATTTTGCCATCCATGTATTTATAAGCAATTCTGATGTTAGAAAGTGTAGCATAGGCTCCTTGCACAATGTTCTTTATGTGGTGCTCGGGTGATAGTTTTCTATCTAGAACCACCCCTTGGTTATCTTGGTTATCCTTAAACTGTACAAGCATAATTGGGCTTGAGATCTTTTTTTGATCTTAAGAGTAAGTTTTCTTTCATAGTTTCTTTTACCTAATCTGATTTCTTAAACATTAAAAGTATAATGGGCTGAGATAAATAGATAAAAGCATGGGCAGTTTCAAGGATAGAAATACTGTCCTCAACTCCTGTGCCCTTCTAGTGATGGTTTCAGAAATATAAGGGAACGATGCCAACTTACTTACCGATCATCTGCTCAGCATCAATCTCGGGAAGTTCCGCATCACCCTGCAACCAGAGTTGGACACGTTAGGTACTGCCTGTTGGCTGTTCAGAAAATATGCCTGTAATTGAATAATTTGATCAAGAAGAGTAATTGCATTCAGTATATGTTCATGTGTTCAATCTACAGTATATACCATATATGCCAGAGTACAAGTCAATCCGGTGTATAGGTCGACCTCTAAAATTTTGAGGTGCAATTCCGGTTTAGGCTTATATTCGCCAGATAAGACGACCTCCAAATTAAGGGAGCAACAATTCCCGTACCCTACTGTATGGAAAGAAAAAAAACTACTGCATATCATAAATACTGTATATGGTAGCTTAACAAATATTTACTTCATAACGCAAAGGTGCTAGAATTAGTTCTTTTTGCAGCCATGTCTACCTCTTGCCTCTGCTAAACGATTGCTCAAGTTTCTTTTGTTGGTATCACCCAAAGGCTACATAAATAAACATGCATTATGTAGCAGAAATAGAATGATATTAAAAATTTATTACAGAAATACATGTAATATAGAATGGTACAGAAATATCAAGTGGAACAGAGTTGGGGCAGAGTTCACAGAGTGGTGGAAATTTTTCCCATCATATCACACATTTAAAGTTTAAATTCCCTTCATATGACAAGTTGAGATTAAATTTGTTCTCGGCAAAATCTTCCTCCCTCACTCACTGTGTCTCTCCTGAGTCACCCCTTCCCACACTGCCTCTTTCCCTCTCTCACTGCCTCTCTCCCCCTCTCACTGCCTCTCTCCCCCTCTCACTGCCTCTCTCCGCCCCTCTCGGGGCGGATGAATGATCGGATGGAATGATCGGATGGATTACGAGACCTTTCAAATCCAGGGATCCCATCACAATGGTTGTACTCTTCAAATCACTTGTGTTGTCCCGTCTTGAGTACTGCTCAGTACTCACTTCCCCCTTCAGAGCAGGAGAGATTGCTGAAATAGAGGGAATACAGAGAACATATACGGCACGCATAGACGCGATAAAGCTCCTAAATTATTGGGATCCTTTCAAAGCTCTCGAAATGTACTCACTAGAAAGGAGACGAGAGAGATACCAAATAATATACATATGGAAGATACTGGAGGGCCAGGTCCCAAATCTACACAGTAAAATATAACATCGTACTGGAGTGAACGATATGGAAGAAAATGCAGAGTAGAACCAGTGAAGAGCAGAGGTGCCATAGGCACAATCAGAGAACACTGTATAAACATCAGAGGTCCGCGGTTGTTCAACATCCTCCCAGCGAGCATAAGAAATATTGCCGGAACAACCGTGGACATCTTCAAGACAAAACTATATCATTTTCTTCAAGGAGTTCCGGATCAGCCGGGCTGTGGTGGGTATGTGGCCCTGCGGGCTGCTCCAAGCAACAGCCTGGTGGACCAAACTCTCACAAGTCAAGCCTGGCCTCGGGCCGGGCTTGGGGAATAGAAGAAATCACAGAACCCCATCAACCAGGTATCACGCAGGGGGTCTCTGGGGCCCAGCTCTGGGGCTGGCCAAGGGGCTAGCCAAGGGGCTGGCCAAGGGGCTGGAGGTACAGTGCTTCCTAACACAAGTCAGTGGCTGGGTATTTGTTTTCTGAGGCTGACCTGCCTCAGGTCTCTTGTGTTAGTTGAAGAATGAACTGGTTGTTGTGTTGACCAGGTGGTGGAGTGGTTGTTGTTGTGTTGACCAGTGGTGGAGTGGTTGTTGTTGACCAGATGGTGGAGTGGTTGTGTTGACCAGTGGTGGAGTGGTTGTTGTTGACCAGGTGGTGGAGTGGTTGTTGTTGTGTTGACCAGGTGGTGGAGTGGTTGTTGTTGACCAGGTGGTGGAGTGGTTGTTGTGTTGACCAGGTGGTGGAGTGGTTGTTGTTGTGTTGACCAGGTGGTGGAGTGGTTGTTGTTGTGTTGACCAGGTGGTGGCGTGGTTGTTGTTGTGTTGACCAGGTGGTGGAGTGGTTGTTGTTGACCAGGTGATGGAGTGGTTGTTGTGTTGACCAGGTGGTGGAGTGGTTGTTGTGTTGACCAGGTGGTGGTGTGGTTGTTGTTGACCAGGTGGTGGCGTGGTTGTTGTTGTGTTGACCAGGTGGTGGAGTGGTTGTTGTGTAGACCAGGTGGTGGCATGGTTGTTGTTGACCAGGTGGTGGCGTGGTTGTTGTTGACCAGGTGGTGGCGTGGTTGTTGTTGTGTTGACCAGGTGGTGGAGTGGTTGTTGTGTTGACCAGGTGGTGGTGTGGTTGTTGTTGACCAGGTGGTGGCGTGGTTGTTGTTGACCAGGTGGTGGCGTGGTTGTTGTTGACCAGGTGGTGGCGTGGTTGTTGTTGACCAGGTGGTGGCGTGGTTGTTGTTGACCAGGTGGTGGCGTGGTTGTTGTTGACCAGGTGGTGGCGTGGTTGTTGTTGACCAGGTGGTGGCGTGGTTGTTGTTGTGTTGACCAGGTGGTGGCGTGGTTGTTGTTGACCAGGTGGTGGCGTGGTTGTTGTTGACCAGGTGGTGGCGTGGTTGTTGTTGACCAGGTGGTGGAGTGGTTGTTGTTGTGTTGACCAGGTGGTGGCGTGGTTGTTGTTGTGTTGACCAGGTGGTGGAGTGGTTGTTGTTGTGTTGACCAGGTGGTGGAGTGGTTGTTGTTGTGTTGACCAGGTGGTGGAGTGGTTGTTGTTGTGTTGACCAGGTGGTGGAGTGGTTGTTGTTGTGTTGACCAGGTGGTGGAGTGGTTGTTGTTGACCAGATGGTGGAGTGGTTGTTGTTGACCAGGTGGTGGAGTGGTTGTTGTTGTGTTGACCAGGTGGTGGAGTGGTTGTTGTTGTGTTGACCAGGTGGTGGCGTGGTTGTTGTTGACCAGGTGGTGGAGTGGTTGTTGTTGACCAGGTGGTGGCGTGGTTGTTGTTGTGTTGACCAGGTGGTGGAGTGGTTGTTGTTGTGTTGACCAGGTGGTGGAGTGGTTGTTGTTGACCAGATGGTGGAGTGGTTGTTGTTGACCAGGTGGTGGAGTGGTTGTTGTTGTGTTGACCAGGTGGTGGAGTGGTTGTTGTTGTGTTGACCAGGTGGTGGAGTGGTTGTTGTTGACCAGGTGGTGGAGTGGTTGTTGTTGACCAGGTGGTGGCGTGGTTGTTGTTGACCAGGTGGTGGAGTGGTTGTTGTTGACGAGGTGGTGGAGTGGTTGTTGTTGACCAGGTGGTGGCGTGGTTGTTGTTGACCAGGTGGTGGAGTGGTTGTTGTTGACCAGGTGGTGGAGTGGTTGTTGTTGTGTTGACCAGGTGGTGGAGTGGTTGTTGTTGACCAGGTGGTGGAGTGGTTGTTGTGTTGACCAGGTGGTGGAGTGGTTGTTGTTGACCAGGTGGTGGAGTGGTTGTTGTTGACCAGGTGGTGGAGTGGTTGTTGTTGACCAGGTGGTGGAGTGGTTGTTGTTGACCAGGTGGTGGCGTGGTTGTTGTTGACCAGGTGGTGGCGTGGTTGTTGTTGACCAGGTGGTGGCGTGGTCGTTGTTGACCAGGTGGTGGAGTGGTTGTTGTTGTGTTGACCAGGTGGTGGAGTGGTTGTTGTTGTGTTGACCAGGTGGTGGAGTGGTTGTTGTTGTGTTGACCAGGTGGTGGAGTGGTTGTTGTTGACCAGGTGGTGGCGTGGTTGTTGTTGACCAGGAGGTGGAGTGGTTGTTGTTGTGTTGACCAGGTGGTGGAGTGGTTGTTGTTGACCAGGTGGTGGCGTGGTTGTTGTTGACCAGGTGGTGGAGTGGTTGTTGTTGTGTTGACCAGGTGGTAGAGTGGTTGTTGTTGACCAGGTGGTGGCATGGTTGTTGTTGACCAGGTGGTGGAGTTGACAACTTGTGCCACAACCAGCCCCACAACCACCTGTTGACGGCGTCACAGGGCAATCATCTCTTAACCATAATTTTGACCGTCTTGGGCTCACTTTTATACCCACTCATCTTTCCCTGTCATGTGCCCGTGGCTTGCCTGGCACTGATTTAAAACTTTTCCATCGTTCATTCAACATTTATATCAGCAGAAAAGTCTGTTTAAACTCTACTTCATCGGAGTCGTTGATTTGGCGCAATTAGAGTAACGCTTACCACTCTTACCAAGAAAGGGTATGGGGGGTGGTCGAGGACTACGGCATTTACTATACAGTCACCGTGTAAAGTTTGGTGCGGGTATATAGCCCCAACTTCGAGCACACACAGTTGAGAGGCGGGACCAAAGAGCCAGAGCTCAACCCCCGCAAACACACCAACATAAATGTTCTCTTATAGATAGCGATATAGCAAGGCTGTAGTGATTAATAACTGGGCAACAGTAGTGACTGCGGTCATAACTGGTGCCACACGGATCACCAACACTTGCTGTGGTATCACCAGTTGACAAAAACAATATCATTTAGTGAACGGGCGTCAGAGATGGCCCTGGACGCTGCGATATAGTCGGCCACCTCTATCTGGCTCGAGGAAGTAGCAGCTGCTTCACATGGCACCTTCCTTGTTCAGTATCTATATAACTGGAGCAGATATATAAACAAAGTTTTACCCAAAGTGTAAATGGGAGCGCTGTGATAGGTTTGATAGTAAGCTACTAGAATATACGACGATGATATAGTAGTTAGCTATGACCCCGCAACTGGAGGCAACCAGCAAAAAACAATCATCCTGGGAGCCTGCCAAGTCGCCTTATTTTTCCCTTGTCGTTTCACTCATATTTAGACATAATTGTATCACTGATGCACATATTTTGCGGCAGGCGCGAGTCCAGCGCCAGCCAGGGCAGCCAAAAACCTGTTTTCAAATTTAGAGAGATAATTTGTGTGGTGTTGAGCGAGACGGAGCTCAACACCACACTTGCCTCCCTCATGTTAGGCAGCTTTGCATTATGTTTAAACTCTTCACTCACTGACACCTCAATATAAAGAATAGCCTGATCGCCGAGTATAAAACTTTAGGCTTCAAAGGCTTTGCTGGCGAGGGGAAATTTAGAACGTTCCATGTAAACAAAGGCTAATTTTGCCGTAGTTTCTGTGTGTAAGAGGTTACTAAGTCCCGTGTATTACTCAACCGTACAAGTTTAAGGTCATACATAAGTACATCCATAAAATATAATATCTGTTTAAGAATACGCTTGTGGACATTTTAGGAAAGTGTGGGCCGCAGGGCGCGCCTCAAGTGTTTAGTGTAGCTGGTGCTAGGGAGGAGGTGTATGGGGGAGCAGTCAGCGGGCCGCCAGAGATGCACTAGTCAACAAAACTTTTTTCTCCCGTCTCCAGATGAGAAAGATGTTTGGTGGCAGTTGTGGCGGAGGGGTGGCAGTTGTGGCGGAGGGGTGGCAGGTGTGGCGGAGGGGTGGCAGGTGTGGCGGAGGGGTGGCAGGTGTGGCAGAGGGGTGGCAGGTGTGGCGGAGGGGTGGCAGGAGGGGCGGAGGGGTGGCAGGTGTGGCGGAGGGGTGGCAGGTGTCAGGAGGGGAGAGGTGACAAGATTGGTCAGCAGACATCCCTTAACGGCACCCCACCCCCCCAGCAGTCGTATCACCCCCCCCCCTCCACCCTCCCCAACCACTTCCGTCTGCATCAGCCACATGGGGACGGAAATACCCTTGCTTGATGTGCTCTTCCTTCCTTCCTTCCTGGGTCATATAGTACTCCTCTTGCCTCTCATTTCCTCACACCTTTATACTATAACAATAACATTATTGAGAAAATTCGTAGGAGCCGTGATGAGAGTTCGAACCTACGTCTGGGATGATCCCAGGCGCGCCTTAGTCGACTAGTCCACGACATGGTCAAAAGAATTGCAACCGGGAGTGCTACTGCCCCTCACACGCTGTTGTGATTTGTGTGTGTACTGAAGTAATGGGGAAGAGGTAGAACAGCTTGTTGACAGAGCCCGGGTGCATGGGGAATATTGTATAAAGCCCTGGTTTGTGTCTCGGAGAGGTTGCCGGATCCTCGTGAGGGCAGTAGCACTCCCAGTTGCAATTCTTTTGACCATGTCGTGGCGTAGTCGACTAAGGTGCGTCTGGGATCATCCCGGACGTAGGTTCGAACCCTCATCACGGCCCTTGTTTCTTTGTTCATTTGATGTATCACGTTATTGTGATTTGTGTGTGCATGGAGTGAATGTTCCCACGCACACGCTTCTAGCCACTTCACCACGACTAGGATAACCATCGCAGCCAGGAGGTCTACTGAACCCACAAGGATTTAAAGATATTGAGGAAATCCGTAAGAGCCGTGGGAGAGGGGGAGCCGGTCGGCCGAGCGGACAGCACACTGGACTTGTGATCCTGTGGTCCTGGGTTCGATCCCAGGCGCCGGCGAGAAGCAATGGGCAGAGTTTCTTTCACCCTATACCCCTGTTACCTAGCAGTAAAATAGGTACCTGGGGTGTTAGTCAGCTGTCACGGGCTGCTTCCTGGGGGTGGAGGCCTGGTCGAGGACCGGGCCGCGGGGACACTAAAGCCCCGAAATCATGTCAAGATAGATCTCAAGATAGGGTTGGAAGCTAGAGGGAGGGTGTTCTCACGCACACGCCCTAGCCAACTAGGCCACGACATGGCTAAAAGGATTGTAACCTGGAGTTCTGCTACGGACTTTGTTATGTGACACATCACGTTAGTGTGAGTACTCTCTCTGTAATATAAATGTTAATAATAACTCCATTTGCTCCTTTCTAGAGTAGTCATTCTCCTGCACTCCGACTACTCTCCTTCCTCTACCACCATGTTACACCTCCATCCTCTGTCCTCCGGCTCTGTCCTCTGCCCCCCCCCCTCCTCCGCCACCTATCCCCACCACAATTTCACTATCTGCCCCCTTCCCCTTACCGCCAAAAATAACCGCCTTCTCCTCTCCAGCCTTATCTTGAATTCTCCAACACTCCTCTTCTCCTCCCCCCCCCCTCATCTTCCCGACACTCGGCCCCAAGCCTCCAACTGTTCCTCCGTCGCCTCAGCCGCAGGAAGAACACCCACCTGTACTGGCAGTGGCCGAGACTCACCCTTGTCAAAGTTACATTGGATGTAGTATTTTCTAGGGGAGGGCGATGGAATGGAACCATTAGGAAAAAGCGCCAAGCCATTACGACTATATAACACTGGGAAAAGGCCAGGATTTGGGATGGGACGTGAGGGGGGGAGGGGGATTCTTGCCACCTGTCCTCCTACAAATTACATCTGAATTTCGCCGTTTGCCCGTATGGCCAGAAATGGACGTAATTTGAAAATGAAAAAAAATAATTTAAAAATAAATTTTGAATAGTTTTTTCCAAAACATTAAGGGTCCTCTGGTAGGTTAGGAGGGCAGGAAGTTCTCCTGAAGTTTCAAAACGTCGTGAAAACCGTTAATGGAAATTTTCCTCTCGTAACCTAACCGAGTAAGCCGGAGGACTCAAATAGAAAACGGGACAGTACATCACTTTCGTGAGCCGATTTCATTTCAAATTACGTCCATTTTTGGCTCATAATGCGCATACCAGCGGAAAGCGACGTCTTCCAACGGAATGTTCAGGACTGTCACCAGCATGAACCTCAGAAGGGTGGCACACTCATTTAATTTGGGGCTGTTGTAGGATGGGGAACACCTCAGAAAGTAAGTCAACTTAGGGAGAGATAGACATCTTGTGCGGAGGAAGAGAACATCATGGGCTCCAAGCAACAGCCTGGTGGACCAAACTCTCACAAGTCAAGCCTGGCCTCGGGCCGGGCTTGGGGAGTAGAACAACTCCCAGAACTCCATCAACCAGGTATAAAACCAGGTACCAGGCATCAATCTTGTCAATCTTGTCCAGCATTCTCCTTAGATCAGTGATTTCTGCCTCCAGGACCTCCTCGATTGCTTGCGGGCCAATGGGAGCGCCCAGGAGGGTGCAGTCACATGGCTCGACAACGAGAATGTCTGGAAGAAAATTTTTTATTTGGCCAATGATGTCTGGGTTGCGTGAGACTATTTCACATTTGGATGCATTGAGAATGAGGCCCAAGGCTGCTCCTTGCTCCTGGAGTATCCTTATATCCTCCAAAATGGTATCCGGGGTTCCGGCGAGAGTGCCATCATCCAGGTACCAGATGTTTAGCTTGCTTCTCACACTTTTTTTTATTTTCTTTTACTTTTTTTTATTATTTTTCTACCACAGACGTGGCCACACATTTACAATGCTAACCAGCATATATACATTTTCTTCTGTCCTCCATGGACAGGGTTAGAGATGTGTTAAACATATAGTTCAAGGGTTTATTGAACAATCAACCACAGAAGGTGATTCGGTGCTTTTAAAATGCTAAGCTAACCTACATACGTAAATACATAGATACACAGATTTACGTATGCCCTACATAAAGTGTTCGATGTGTCATTAATGTGCATTTACAAAGGTGAAATGCAATTCTGATCAGCTTCCATATGTACTTTATACACATACATATACATACACACACACATATACGTACATATATATATATATATATATATATATATATATATATATATAACTCACACCCCAGAAGTGACTCGAACCCATACTCCCAGATGCCACGCAACTGGTATGTACAAGACGCCTTAATCCACTTGACCATCACGACCGGACATAATGAGGTGATAGCCGAGGCTATTTGAACCACCCCACCGCCGGCACTCGGATAGTAATCTTGGGCATAGCATTTTACCAAATCACCTCATTCTTTGGGGCACACGTGAGGAACACAAATGCGAACAAGCCTGAATGGTCCCCAGGACAATATGCAACTGAAAACTCACTTCTGGGGTGTGAGTTTTCAGTTGCATATTGTCCTGGGGACCATTCAGGCTTGTTCGCTCATATATATATATATATATATATATATATATATATATATATATATATATATATATATATATATATATATACCCACAAATGCATTCACATACATTTGTCTCATTTACTCTGACAGGGTGAGATAGCTGACAGAGAAACTAATGTGCAATTATGCACTTGGTCACTGACGGTGATTAAGGTGCTTTTACAAGCTCAGGTTATATAGTTACATCACATACATTTTATAATATTGATACATTACATGGTCAATCTTGGATACAAGTCCAATATATCATCAAGTGTTCCAGTACTCATATAGTAATTACACAGTTCAGCATATCTTAGCCCAGGAGGGCGAAAGTCAGTCAATATGGGACATTCTACAATTTAATGTTCAAGTGAGTGCATGTTTTCTCTTTCACAAAGTTGACACATTGTGTACTGGACATTTGGGTTTTGAGAAAGCTGCCAGATA